AGGGCAGGATTTACGGAAGTACAACACTGGCAGATATCCACAAACCTTGATTTTCGAGGTCGGTCGGTCGGTCGGTCGGTAATTAGACGCCTACTACAGTCGAAAAGATAGAAGAAAAAGAAGGGGAGGAGAAAAGAGAGCGCTTACTTTCACTTGAATGCTAAATTTTCCTATTTCGAGACGTTTAAGGAGCGAATTTTGTAATGTATAATCACGCTACTATGATCATTTCGGATCATAGAAGTGTAACCGTCAATCAATTCCACTTGGATTCGTGTGTGTGTGTGTGTGTGTGTATGTATGTATGTATGTATGTATGTATGTACAGTATATAGTGCTGCTTATACTTTGTACAAATGCACTTAAATTTTATTGTTAGCAATCGTATCACGCAAGACCCTAATGCACTTAACACGAAGCATGCAACACTGGTACTAAATTTCTTAGTTAGACCATCGTCATGGGGGTTCTTCGACGTCATGACCTTCAAAATAAGTATAAAATTTGTTTTTAAAGTCTTGATACCATGCAATATCTTAGTTTACTAAAAGATATATGCAGTAAAGAAGATGAATTTCTTCGTCAGTTCCTAACCTTCAAATTTTTCGGTAATTTGGCTAATGAGCGTATTTTTACCCTCTTAAAGTCAACAGAGAGTTGACTATACACTAAGCTCTTTCGCATCACTCGAGATCATAATAAACAGCATTTAACACGTTGCATGCAATACGAGCGATAAATTTATCGTTAAATACAATCAAGGCATTGCTCCAACGAAATTACCTCCTGAATTTTTCAATAAATTTAACTAAACAACGTAATTTTATCCCGTAAAAGTCAACAGAGACGTTGATACAGTTACAAAATGAGGATGGCCGTCTTCAAGAGGATCGTTGCAAAATTAAAATCGATGAGGTGTAATTTAAATCGAGAGATCCAAATTATCTTGAAAATAGCAACGCGTTCTCTCTGAAGTAAAGGTAGAAAGTGAGTGACTTTAGGCTGACAGATATCAAAAGAATGAATGGATTGAAGCATTCAACGAAGTCCGGTTTCTGACAGTCATTGTTAAGAGAAAAGAAATGTTGTCTGTGAGTTTCATCAAGATAATTAATCACTTGTTACAAATAGCTAGAATAGAAGAATAAAGAAGAAGAAGAAAGAAAAAAATCCCCGTTTGTTCAATCAAAAATGTTCTTGGGAGCAACTTTTATTCTCGTGTAGTGATCCTTATCTTTTAAAGTGATATACGCTTTAATAACCCATTAACACTTTAATAACCTACATAAATTGCGGAAAATTAAGCTCGCACACTCGTTTCCTTTCTAAAATTAAAAGAAAATCATGTTTTATTATTATAATTTAATTAAAACTCCAAGATTTTTAAGTCTTAAACGCATTNAAGTTTATTAAAAAAAAAATTATAATACAAGAAAAAAAATGGAATTTGTGTGATTTGTTCTTGTAAATTGTAGTATTTGATTTACCAGAAATTTTATTGAAATGAAAAAGTTATATAATCAAATTTCAGATGGCGCCACTAATCGAAAGCAGGCATGGTAGTGTTTTTCAAATTTAGTTCTGATTTTGAGCACGAGGTGGCGCCACGGAATTAAGTGAAAATTAAAAACTAAACGTCACTAGATCAATTACAAAAAAGATTAATTTTAATAGATGTGGCGCCACCTGGCGACATATTTCTTCGATTTAATTTTTATACATGAAAATAAATATTAAAACGTTAGATGCGTGATCGATTTCCGGTAAAAATTCCCTTTAAAAAAAGTAAACAACGGTGGTATTTTAAAAAGAGACGACTTGATTCGTCGTGGTGTTTACGAAAAGCCCTTAGGTTAATCACGTGGTGCATCTAATGATGCCACCACGCGACGTTGAAGTGGGAGAAGCCACTGATTAATGACTTGTGCACATTTTCGGTTGACCCATCTCGAATTAATATCGAAAATTTGGATTATCAGTGGTAGGAACAAGGCGGTAAATTTTCAATTTTATAATTACAGACTACACAACCAAATGCCATTTCCCTCAGCTTTTGGGATTGTTCACGGTCGTTACCAGTTCTAACCATTTATCTTACTCTTACTCTCTACCAACTCAACTCCATATTACATTTTAATCTAGACATTTTGGTATCGATAATCCTAATTTTCGGATTATCTACGTCAAAATAGTTAAATTAAGATTTGTTCCAAAAAATTTAAGAATTTATTATTATTTTGGATGAAGAAATCATACTTTCAAAAGATATAAGCGGCAAGTCCAAGCATTTTCGAATTGATTAATCAAGCTTTTATACGCAAATGCAGGCTCTAAAAACACAATGGCCTTTATCTGCATTGCTCATCTCACGGATCTGCATAATGATCATCATAAAAATGTCTGCACAACGCGTTATCGCGTATGCTAACGAGCTCCGATGTCTAACCTCCCGCATTAACTAATGTTTCGTACAATAAATGCATTTTCTGAATCTGTACGTTCGGCTGGGCATCCGCAATCCCACGCAAAAATTACTTTAAAATGTACAATATGGTACTTATCTTTAAACATTAAACTGGCTATTCTTGAAGCTAATTAACCTAAATTATACTAATTAATAAAAAATCACTATATAACTTGGTGCAAATCCTTCAATTCCCTATTTCTAGATGTGAGCATTTTGAACCCATTGGAGCTTCGTGATATCAATTAAGTAAATATAATTGCACACAATCTTCACAAAATTAAGATAACGTTGTAAGAATTCGGGTGAGGTGCAAAATTCGAGCCTCATGCGCCAGTTTCAAACTCCCTCTAATATCCTTAATGGACCAGGATATCAAGAAATCACTTACCCCATTTTTTATTAAAGTGTCTTCATTCAATAAACCAAGAAGGGGTATCCTAACTGTTTTCACTTTAAAAAAAAAATCTTCAATCTTCTTAGCAGATCTCTCCGCATTCGGGGTGGTTGTCCGGCCATTGAACTCCATTGACCAATGTCTTTTGTGTAGTTCTGGTGTTTGTGCTATCTTCAGAATCGTTAGAAAATGACCAACGATTATTCACGTCGTAACATTTTCTACCTAACTCTATAATTGAAGCACGATATCCCTTTACGTATTCATAAGTTGCACGGTTATTTTTCTAAGAACTGTTATAATAGGGTCCACTTTCGGGGGAAAAAAAAGAAAAAAATATGTATCTCCGGGGCTGAGTATAATGACGTCATCTATCATAGCTTCATGCAGGATGTCAGTCCTGCCTACTCGAGATAGAAACCTATAATAATTTGTAGAGTGATATTTACCGAGCGGTAACACTAAGTTTCAACTGTGGATCAATTTGCAACATGGTCAATTGCACCGGTTTTAATAGAATAGTTTGCAATTTTCTTATTTTTTCCCCTCCATCTTGGTGAGAGGAGGAAAAAGTATACATATATATATATAGGCCTATATATATATATAACTATACGTATATATGTGTATACTTTCAGCAAAATGCAAGGCATACTCATTAAAGCAACTGAATTAATTCCATACACTCACATATTATGCATATTTAAAGCACATGACAGGTAATAATTAGAGATGTGTGCAGTAAAAATCGTAGAAACCCTATACTTAACAAAATTAGCCTATGACATTATAATGAATTAAAATTCTTATCTGATGGGATTTTTTTACCTTAAAAAATATCCTTATCCAGCAAGTAATTTTTGAAGATAGAAATGTATAAAAAGCAATAAGAGTTTCTTCTTCTTTTTTCCTCACTTAGAAATTGTTAATGTAATAGCATCGGTGGTTATTGTAGGAGCACTTAAAACATGCTACAGAAATTCCCACGTTGTTCATATGATGTAAATCATGCAAACTAGTCAGGTGACTCCCACCTCATAAGGCTCTTAATTGATGTTTGCAACATGAGGAACTTCGGTTAACTCAAGTGCGATGGCTCCGATAAAGATACAATGCTAAAACAAAATAATAATTTTGTAAAAATTGATCAATTTTATAATGTTAAATTTAATTTTTTTTTTAAAGAAAAATTATTTTGCTTAATTATAACTTAGAACTTGTTTCCTGCTGCGATTTTGTTGATGGTGTATGTATTTTATGAAAAGCTTGTTCTAGATCGGTAACCAAACAGGATATTTCAAAATTGATTTAATTGTTATCTGATGTAAGAGATTTTTCAGTTAAAGTTGAAAAACTTGTTTGAATTTATTTATTTTTAATTCTCTGAATCGATAATTAATTCTGACGTTGCAAAATGCTTTCCCTTTTATCAAGAAAAATCAATTTCTGAGTATTGGCTTGGCGTGGTTTTAATTACGTGTTCTTCGAGATTTTAACGTGTAAATTTTTATACTTTTTCCATATATGACGTTTATACTCTCATTTATACAGATCTACGCCCAATTTTTCATTCAATTTATTAATAATACTACGTATTTTCAATATCTCATATGAGTTTTTGGTACCCAAATTTAGTTTACAAACTAATATATTTGTTTAATTTGAATATTTTATGATATATTTTAAGTATCTCATGTATAAAAATCTTTAATATAAAATTTTTAAAAGATTTTCATACATTAATGAATTCATTTCTGATGGTTATGCATGAATATCCGTAAAGGTCAACTCAGGATACTTCATACTTTGAATATCTTATAAATATCTACGAAGTTTTATATGTTAATTAGCATTATTAAGGTTTTTTATAAGGCCATTAAACTATAATAGGAATTTTCGAGTTACTTATTGAGATTTTTAAGCATTAATAACTGGCATTCTGAATTAAATTGAAAATATTTCTAGCGCATTGCAACATAGGTTGATTCATGGTAAGGTGTTTCAGAAATTTAAGGATTTTGAATAGATTTTTCTTTATAATCCTTCAAAATTTATTCATTCGAGTTAGAAATATTCTAATTTAAAGAATTCAAACATTTACGTGATGCATGGATTCTTGAATTGCGAACAAAGAACTCTCTTCAGACCATAAATGCTTCAAGTGTCTTCATCTTATTTTTCACGAGTTATGATAGGAAAAATGGTTATAATTTAAGTATTTTTTACCTAAAATTAAAGATTCGGGATGTATATTTAGTATTATTATAAGTTTCGAAGACACGAAATATGCTTTTTTTTTTTTTTTAAACAAGGGATCCCTTGTTTTGAACCTTATCCCACGTAGAACGAAATCTGTCATCTGAAGGTTATCTTCAGACTTGATAACGAGATATGGAGCCAGCTGTTACTTGTTAAAATGTTTGAAACATGCAGAACAAAATCATCTTCTTCGTACTTTCTCCCCCCGACAAGTTCAAAGTACTTTATGTACTTGTGAATCGAAACAAGGTAAAGTACTGTTACCAGCGAGAAGCATCACTTCGTGATGTTTTAGATACAACACGTTGTTGCGATTCACTTTTCAACACGGGAATTGTAAAAAAAATACTTTAAAAATCTACTCTATACACAAATAAACGTTGGTGAATGATTCTAATTTACAAACTCCGTGTTTTTTACTGTTTATCAAATGCTTAAAACAAAACATCACCTGCTGTACCCCTCTTAAAAAATTGAGTACAAGTCGATTAGAGAAAGTGGAACCACACCTGCAACAGGAGTACTTCAGACAGACAGACGCACCTGCATAGTTAATATTAGGTTATTCGTGAAGGGATTCTTCGTAAGACGTTAAAGATTATGATAAAATTCGACACATCTACATCCCCCTTTTCTATGGTGAATAAAACAATAAAATGTCGACTTAGAAAATAAAATTTAAAAAAAAAATGCTTTTTTTTTATTGGCAAATTTGATGAGGCATCCGAAAAAAACTGAATATATCCAACAAAACATAATAAATTAGTACTTAAGTTGACATGAAAGCTGCGCTCGGTCCTATTCATTGTTCGCGAGGAGCGAAGTTGTAAAATATAAAAAAAAAAAGGAAGAAATGGCATCACTACTGACAAAATGATGGGATGTATTCTGGCATGTGTGACTCGCGTCATTATCAACTTGACAGATAACATGAGTAAACATGATTGAGAATACAGAATGTATAATATCATTAGTGTCTACATTCTCCTCATCACTTTTCTTGAGAGGTGTCTTGAGATCTAGGCAGCAGCAGCAGCAGCCGCGAAATTTAAAAAAAAAATAAACAGTTAAAAAATTTGGTTAGTTATTGGCGATAATTGAAACACACACACGTACACACGAAAAAAAGTATGTCTTTTTCCAAGTTTTTATACCTGAAAAAACAAAATTCAAATATTGCTTTTTAACTTGGAGTTTAATGGATTTTCTGTGGAGATTTGCCATTAAAACAAAAGTGTATACTTACTTTAACTGCTGACGAGATCAATAAAGTGGTCCTCGATAGAATTTGACATTAGGATTACAGGAAAATGTTCTTTCTCCTGGATAAAAATAACTATCTTCCGGACGGCCTGGCAACACTGGCGATTTGGCTGGATGACCGTAACGCCACACCCTTGTCGGCGGAGAAGGAAAATAAAATATGCCTTCTGGAAAAATTTAAAGCCATGACGTCACAGCGGGGTTTATAAATATAATTTTTTTTTTTTTTTTTTAAATTTTCGATATATAAGAATGACGTCTGGAGGTAATTATATTCCGAGTTCGGCCTGGAAGGCAGTAAAATTCAGGTGTTGGGTTGAACCGTATTATCCCGCTGTGCAAAGAATCAAATGTTCTAGACAGGGGTGGAGATTTGAAACTGAATTTTTAAAGAGACGCCCACCCAAGGGGAACCTTCGTATTTATATTATTTCGCTTTTTAAAATATGTATTCTATAATCCGTTCTCTTGAAAGATTTATAATATTACGTTGATCCTTGGATCATAATAGTAGTAACCGTGTATTGTATGCTTTCATTTTCATTTATAATATTCATGCCAGCCCATTTGAAAGCTGCGAAATGTCATGAATAGTAACTTAACACTTCACTTGTATACATTTTCTCTTCAAATGAAGCTACGAAGATCTAATCCTCAACGTTTTGCCTAAATTTATGTGATGGATTTATTAATCGCAATGGATAGTTTTGCCACGAATCGGTTGCTTGCGCTTAATTTAAACGTAATTAAATCACGATATGCGTAAATTAACATTGAGTGTGAGGGAGGTGATATATTCCTACGAGCAGTGCGCGTGGCGTGCTCGCGCGCTCAATGCGGATCCATTCTTTTAGTGACCTTCTAATTCGTATGCGGAAAAGGAAACGTAATGGATAGGTACAAAATTAATTTCAATTATAGTTCTCTAAACAACTGCTATAAATCTATGGTAGAACGTGCCATAATTCCGCAGGGTGGTTCAAAAGTCAATTAACCATTGTAAGGACTAAATTACTGCTTACGAACTTGTAATACAAATTCCACCAGTTTTTCAAAAGAAAATCACGTTTTAATCCCAGTTTACGATTCACATTCGCAAGGGGGCCTGAGACACGCAACACTAAACCCTAATAATTAACTCTTAGGCCATCCTGTATGTAATTTTAACATTAAAATATAGGTGTAAGAAGATTTAAATCCTCAAGCGACACTTGAAACATTAAAATTTGAAAGGTTTGCAACTCAATTTATATAAATAATTAAATCCTTGAACTTAAATGCTTTATTAATTTTGAACAGAAACTAAATTAAATCAAAAATATGATGCATGACAATTGATTCTAACGACAATGAAAGCATTTGGAAGTTAGAATGCAACTGTCTAAGATAACTGATAACTGAATACAATCTTTGAAGGGGTTTTAACCTCCGTTTCAATTTTTTATTATTAATTTTAAAAGTAATTTAATTTTGACACATTCTATAACGTTAAAAATGAACCTTAGACCATTTGTTCAAAAGAAATAGATCAATTCTTCACTACAGAAATGGAGATTCTTCATGGTTCGAGATCACTTTTATAATATGAATATGAATAACTTAAGAAAAACATGTGTAACAAGAGCCTTTACATTTTGTTCTTTTAACATGCGTAACATTATGAAGATTAATGGAAAGTAATACGTGCTTAACAATAATATATGGATCTATATATATAGCATAACATTAAGATTGATGGATAAGAATGTAAAGTTGTAACATTATAACTATACACGGTTACACCCCATTGTAACCAAAAAAAGGGGTTCTTTTCTTTATTCGTCCGTAAGAAGATGGTTATTAATTATAGTAGAAAGAACTAATTGTGAATTGATAGATAGAGAGAAAGATTAATCTGACAGCAACAACGTCCCCTAATGTGTAATAAATAAGTAAATATTTGGCAAATTATCAATAAATATGCTGCACGGGTGGTCTGGAAATTGCTCTTTTCTTTTAAAAAATTGCAGATTTTTCTTAGATACAATACATCAAAAAAGGCAGCTGAGTACTTACCTTGTGACGTAGGAGTGACGGCTGGTTTGATGAGAGTACCTTGATTAGACATGGGAGGAGGTTTCACATGAAGGAATGATGATGTATAGATGGATTGATACGGAGATGAGAATTCGTCTCTGTCTTCTGGATAAAGTCCCTCCCTTCCCATGGCTGCTAACTGACGTCCTTTGGGTAGAAACATGACCAGAAATACCATAGTGGCATTACATACAATTCCGAATGCCACGTAGGGATCGTAATAGGTACTGGAAGCAGTCAATGGTATGGCTATCCACGCACACCACATGGGAATGCTTAGACCGACTGCGATGCCAATAAACATGGATTCACGATGATTCTCACGCAGTCCTCGTGCTTTTATGGCTAAAAGAGCCACTATTAAGATGAGAAACACAATGTATAATAAAGAATAGATGTGTTCTGTCATGGAGGTGCTACATTTGGCCACTCCATCCGTAACGATTACGTCCGAAGGCCTTTGTACGTATCCTTGTATGCTGATGACGATTTGAACGGCCATAGCAAAAAACAGAAGTAGGCCTTGATATCCCGGAGGCAGGTACACGCCAGAACTTAAGCTTAGCAGAAACACGCATTTCACCATTAAAGTCGAGAACACAAGGGCATAGGATAACCCCAGTCCCAGACGGATAACGGAACATGATATCCAGTGGACTCTTGGCACAAAAGCAAAACCTAACGAGGAGCATAGAAATAATCCCAAAAGGAGCATCTGTCCTAGGAAAAGATGTCTGCGATTTGGGTTTGTTCCGTATGCTTTGTATAGAACAAATATCTCGAATACAGTTATGACGAGAACATTGATAGAAGAAACAATAAGCAATGGCACCACCCAAAGATCACTTCTCATCTGAATGCTGGATTCAGTGGAGTTTCTTTCTAAACAAATGACTCCTCCGGAACAATTTTCCATCTTTCCAATGCAGATATCAAGAAAGTAAGCCAAATATCTAAAACAAAAATTATTAAGTTATTATAAATTAATAAAACAGTTTATAAAAATGAAGATTTATAAAGATAATAGTCAATTTTTATCATAGATACCTGTTTTTTGTTGCTTATCCAACTTCGTTAAAGATATCAGAATATCTCAATTAGCCATCGATGAACCAAGAGTTTACAAAATAGGGAAATGAGACTCAATTCTGAGATTTAGTTGACCAAAAATATACCAGAAAATATAAAATTTAGTGATATTTTCGGGTAAGCAAAATGAAATCCACAACAAAATGCCAAGTTAAATGTTAAAGAAATCAAAAAATATAGCTCAATTTCTAGACATATCTTCACTAAAGACACCAAATGCTTCATTAGATGTTAGAAAGATAAGAAAAAATCTGATTAAACAATCAAAACGCTAACTTGGATGCTGGAAAATTAGAAAATTAAGTCTCTACTCTTAAGATATATATCATAAATAAATCCCTCCAAGACATATTCTTCTTGATATTATATACATAATTTACTAAAGAGTAAGTGAAAAGAAAGTTTAAAAAAAACAATTAAAATTCATCCATAATAGAATTACAAAATAATAATAGTTCTTGTACCTTGAAAAAAATAACAATAATAAGCAACTCGGTAAATAATTTGCTCGACAAAAGTTGCGCCATTTTCTTTAACAACAAAGACGTTGTCTATAAATTGGGTGAGAGGTCAAATCCGATCATTTATTACAACTAAGGGGATGTTCTTCCCCATCAAGAGTGATTTATGCGGGATGCTAGCTAATTAACCTTCCCGGCTAGTTCCTTTTAAAGTCACTAGATGGCAATATAACTCAAGAGGTACAATGACATCAAGGTTACCATTTTCGATTTTGATATACTGTATAATATATTTTACGAATTCCTTTCACCCAAAAGTTAATTTACTTCAGGAAGAATTTAGAAATAATGGTTACCATCGCGCGGGTGACAATTTACTCCATTTGCAAAGGGCTATAAAATGAAGATATACGAAAATGGCCACGAGGAAATGAAATCATTGCGTGGTATAAATCCACAGGCTATTATTATACAAATTAAGGTGGAACCGGCATTTTGTCAGAAGCGCCTGACAGGTGCGATTGAGTGTTGCACCTTCTCAACCTTGATGTTAACACACCGGTCACCAATTACACCGTTTCGTCGCCAAATTTTATGATGGTCGTGCCGTTCCCCACCCACCCTCCATAGGGGTTCTGAGGCCACCGTAGGAAGCAAACCGTGGCACGGGTATAAAACCACTCTACCCTCCCAAATAACTTATTCTTATATGATTTATGCAAACCGTATTGACTATTCATGCGCATATTGCATGCGTTCTTAGCATGGATACATGAAGATAAAGAGCAATTGCAATGTACCTACCTGCATACGTCTTGCAAGTATCGGATGGTAGAGTGTGGTTGAGGGGAGGCCACACTTGGGGAATGGGTGGTTTATCTCTCCCCACGACTCTCGCTCTGCTCGTGTGATTAGCTTGAAAGTTAAACGTCTAGTTTCTAGGAAATTGACCGCAGCGACCTGCCTTTATCTTCCTACGTGAACACAAATATGTGGAGACACTCGATGGACCTTGAAGAAAAAAAATCCTTATATTTTCGGGTGACTTTGCATCTCGGATTCTAACTTTAAACGCGCTTGATTGATGTTATTTGCAATTCCATTCGCCCTTATCTAAGTCGTAGTCATTAGTCGATAACGTCTGAACAAACATATCACTATTTAGAAATAAACTACTCGCTTCTAAATCTCTGAAGTGTCAGGCTGTTTATTATACTGCGTAGATAATGCCAAGTAAAATGAACATTGCACTATTTCATTATCACACTCTTTTTGCAATTTCATAAAAAAATATCCAATTAAATTAAAAATTAATAAATAAATTATTCAATTAATTTAATTCATGGTTCTTTACGTACAGTACTTATAAATCATTCTCCAATACTTATCAAACGAGATCTGCATACTTTTTTTGCTACAAGTTAATTGAAAATAAATACCGATAAAGTAAACATAAGAAAAGGAGAAAATTTAAAATTAAAATTTAAAGAAAACAAAGTAAAAATTTGCATAAGACTCGGATACTAAAAGCACAGGGAATCATCTTAAGAACTGTTAAACCCTGACCTAGAAAAATAACTTTTACTGTGGACCACACACGTACAAATTGATGCAGATTGTTACTACTGTCGTTTGTCGAGATGCCATTGTTTGTAATTGCAGCCCTCAACTGTCATATGCCACTCATGGCACTCCACACCGAGTGGATACACACACGGTCATTTCGGAGTACATTCACTTAGCTTTATCCTACGATCAGAAAACATTCAATTTACTAAAGTAAAATAGATTTTTATCGGGTTTTAATATATAGAATTTTCCCCCCGTTTTTAATTTTAAGAGAATACCTAAACGAATACATTCTTCTTTGTTTCTTCTTCCGAGGCTTAAATCATCGTATGAAATGACGTCACGTCTGAACCTCCCTCAACAAGAATCTCGTTATAAGGAGCAAGGTTCGGTCATTGCCTTTTGTTCATCCTGGACATCAAAAGAGCCGTCTGTATGCAACAACTAACTTGTCAGATGTAGATTAACAGATTTCCCGTTTTCATCTTGGCTCAGATGTTACATCCATAAATATATGCATAATTTTTCTTACTTTTTAATAACTATATCAACTACTTATTTATGTATAACGACTAAATATTATACGAAAAATTAATCATAGACGTAAGAGGAAGCTCCCACTTTAAATTATTCCGGTTACACGGCAATTGTTTTCATAAACAAATTCAAGAAAATTCTTTATGTTTCTTCTAAGCTGCTGTCCCCCATTTAAAGGAACTTTTATTTTCCAAGTCCTCATTTTTAAACGCTTGAAACAATCATATTTTATTTACTTCCTTCTAAAGCTTTAAAATTTATTTATTTTATCTCTTCGAGTGGGTTTAACTCGTTTAAAATATTCTTATGTCAGCATTCTCAATGACTTAATAATTACGTCGACATAAATAACGAATTTCTGATATATTTCTGACAAGGTACTTGTCCGAATAATCCTACAATTCATAAACAAAATACGATACCTGAAAATTGTTAAGTTAACAAAAGGATATTTTTTACTATCTCCACCCAAAATGTGTTCACGAAACCAACAGAACAATCCATATTTTCTTTTCGTTTTTTTTAAAAAAATATTTTTAAAATTCAAAACAATTTTATAATTTATTTATTTTATTTAAAAAAAAGGTTATTCAACTTAAAAAATGTCTTTTTCTGATTCATTGATTCAAGAAATTTCTCTATTCTCCTTTAATATCCTAGATTTTTACATTGGAATTTCGATCTATTAATGCATTCTCTTTAATAAATTTCTCTTCCTTCTTCCTTTTTTTTCCCACTAAAATTTCGATGTTTATCGTTAATTTTTCCCCCATTTTTTGACTAATTTTTCGATAATAGCAGTTAAATTTCAAATTATAATCTATTTAAAGATAAATAGAAAAGATTTAAATAAGAAAAACAAAAGCCTAGATATTTAACAATGTAAATAGAAATATTAAATTAATAAAAACAGCTGATAAATAGAAATATTTCAATTACGAAACAGAAATTGAATCTTTTTCTGTTTACAGCTGTTTATCAGCTGTTTTTTAAAGGATTAATATTTCTATTTCAGAACAAAAATAGAAAATTTTCTATTTCGATGAAACAGAAATATTAATTAATCCTTAAAAACAGCTGATAAACAGCTGTAAACAGAAAAAGATTCAATTTCAGTTTTGAAACTGACATATTAATTTTTCATAAAATCAGCTGAAAAATAGAAATTTCAATTTCAAAATTTAAAAACAAATGATTAGTTTAAAAAAAAAATAAATTGATTTCAACAATGCTTTTCCTGAAATCTGAAATAATTTTGTAAAAATTGATCAATTTTATAATGTTAAATTTAATTTTTTTTTTAAAGAAAAATTATTTTGCTTAATTATAACTTAGAACTTGTTTCCTGCTGCGATTTTGTTGATGGTGTATGTATTTTATGAAAAGCTTGTTCTAGATCGGTAACCAAACAGGATATTTCAAAATTGATTTAATTGTTATCTGATGTAAGAGATTTTTCAGTTAAAGTTGAAAAACTTGTTTGAATTTATTTATTTTTAATTCTCTGAATCGATAATTAATTCTGACGTTGCAAAATGCTTTCCCTTTTATCAAGAAAAATCAATTTCTGAGTATTGGCTTGGCGTGGTTTTAATTACGTGTTCTTCGAGATTTTAACGTGTAAATTTTTATACTTTTTCCATATATGACGTTTATACTCTCATTTATACAGATCTACGCCCAATTTTTCATTCAATTTATTAATAATACTACGTATTTTCAATATCTCATATGAGTTTTTGGTACCCAAATTTAGTTTACAAACTAATATATTTGTTTAATTTGAATATTTTATGATATATTTTAAGTATCTCATGTATAAAAATCTTTAATATAAAATTTTTTAAAGATTTTCATACATTAATGAATTCATTTCTGATGGTTATGCATGAATATCCGTAAAGGTCAACTCAGGATACTTCATACTTTGAATATCTTATAAATATCTACGAAGTTTTATATGTTAATTAGCATTATTAAGGTTTTTTATAAGGCCATTAAACTATAATAGGAATTTTCGAGTTACTTATTGAGATTTTTAAGCATTAATAAGGCATTCTGAATTAAATTGAAAATATTTCTAGCGCATTGCAACATAGGTTGATTCATGGTAAGGTGTTTCAGAAATTTAAGGATTTTGAATAGATTTTTCTTTATAATCCTTCAAAATTTATTCATTCGAGTTAGAAATATTCTAATTTAAGGAATTCAAACATTTACGTGATGCATGGATTCTTGAATTGCGAACAAAGAACTCTCTTCAGACCATAAATGCTTCAAGTGTCTTCATCTTATTTTTCACGAGTTATGATAGGAAAAATGGTTATAATTTAAGTATTTTTTACCTAAAATTAAAGATTCGGGATGTATATTTAGTATTATTATAAGTTTCGAAGACACGAAATATGCTTTTTTTTTNCTAACCTTCAAATTTTTCGGTAATTTGGCTAATGAGCGTATTTTTACCCTCTTAAAGTCAACAGAGAGTTGACTATACACTAAGCTCTTTCGCATCACTCGAGATCATAATAAACAGCATTTAACACGTTGCATGCAATACGAGCGATAAATTTATCGTTAAATACAATCAAGGCATTGCTCCAACGAAATTACCTCCTGAATTTTTCAATAAATTTAACTAAACAACGTAATTTTATCCCGTAAAAGTCAACAGAGACGTTGATACAGTTACAAAATGAGGATGGCCGTCTTCAAGAGGATCGTTGCAAAATTAAAATCGATGAGGTGTAATTTAAATCGAGAGATCCAAATTATCTTGAAAATAGCAACGCGTTCTCTCTGAAGTAAAGGTAGAAAGTGAGTGACTTTAGGCTGACAGATATCAAAAGAATGAATGGATTGAAGCATTCAACGAAGTCCGGTTTCTGACAGTCATTGTTAAGAGAAAAGAAATGTTGTCTGTGAGTTTCATCAAGATAATTAATCACTTGTTACAAATAGCTAGAATAGAAGAATAAAGAAGAAGAAGAAAGAAAAAAATCCCCGTTTGTTCAATCAAAAATGTTCTTGGGAGCAACTTTTATTCTCGTGTAGTGATCCTTATCTTTTAAAGTGATATACGCTTTAATAACCCATTAACACTTTAATAACCTACATAAATTGCGGAAAATTAAGCTCGCACACTCGTTTCCTTTCTAAAATTAAAAGAAAATCATGTTTTATTATTATAATTTAATTAAAACTCCAAGATTTTTAAGTCTTAAACGCATTGAATGAGCTTAAACGCATATAAGAAGGTTTACATAAATACAAGTTAACCTTGAGACTTAACTATTTAAATTTACAGAAAAAATAATTATAATAATAAATTCATTAAATAAATAATTAAAGAAAAAGTAGAAAAAGAATAAAATTAAAATCATTTCTCGACGAGAAAATTGGATGTTAGTGAACTCCTTATGATGCATGAGTAGTTTTCTGTCTGCTTTATTAAATTATGATCTATCATCGCTGCCTAGTTATCTTGTTGATAAATAAATCCAGGCTGAAACCAGCAACCGTTTTCTAGATTGTATTATATTTAAAAACTTCACCTTTATCTACGAATAAATACAAAAAAAAAAATAATAGTAAACCACTATGGAAACTAGTGACGAAACGAGTTATAGATCGATGAGCTGTAAAACTTTCTCTGTGTTATCGAAACCGTCAAGTTTAAGCAGTTATTTAACCTTGCTAGCCCAGACGAACCCTACAGGGCACACGGGGCAGGGAGTGAGCGGCACTACGAGATTCCAATGCTTCTCATCCATCAAGGTGATGGAGAGAATTGGGCCATTCTGACTGCCAAGGTTAGCCACACAGTACAGTCCCTATGCTAGTTGATAGTGGCCCCTCTCTCTCTCTCTCTCTCACTCGTTCGAGATTGCTGAAGTTACAACACAGAAACTGGTTTTTGCGGTCATTGCTTATAAATCCTACTTTCAATATGCCAATAAAATGTCAAAAAATATGAAAAATAATCCCTTTACGTGTTATAAAAATATTCATCCATTTATCAATTTCATATTAAAAATCCTTAAGCTCGATGTGAATTATTGCGAGTTTATTGAATTTTGGGGTAAGTGGAAAACCCGACGACTGGTTTAAAATGATAGAATTTATTGGCGATAAATCATGGTTGGTTTACCTGTTATTATCTTAAACCGTGGTTTGATTATAGAGTTGGGTTCTGTTACAGTTTATTGATGCAAGAGCCAAATGAGATGTTAGCTCAACATCACCCTCGGGACCCTAATAAGTGGGTCAGGTATAGATTAAGTAATAGCCAATCTGCCATCGATGTTTCGTAACTAAAAAAGAACAGCAGGAAGAAAAAAACAAGCAGAAAGAATTAGTTGAGAGGTTACCAGATCCAATTATTTTCTGTGATCATCCGAATGTAACTGATTTCGGCTTCTGGATTGAGAGAAACTAAAAACCATTTCATGCGTTCAATTAGAAAAAAAATAAATATAGAAAAGTAATTGTTTTGTTTGTTACACGAAAATTTGATTGATTTTGTATGAAAATTATCCTTTGCATTGTTATTTTTTTATGTAAGATAAGAAGATAATCAACCCAGTTAGACAGAGCTACGAAATTAAAGCGATTGTGGTCAATGGGCTAATGACAAGTTAAGAAAAAAAAAAGAAATGAGTAATAAATGCAGTAAAGTTACCGAGAATAATCGATAAAAAGATTAAAAATACCCATTCGATTCTTTCCGGATGTTAAATAATTCATGAAGAACGTATACGACGAGGGGAAAACCCATAAAAGATGGCGATTAAAAAATTAACTGTTAGTTAAAAAATTTCTTAATATCACTTTACAGTTAGATACAAGATAATTGAGCCAATTTTGTAACCAGCGAACATTTTATCAGCAACAACGAACAAAGAATATAAATTGTATACAAGTCGAGAGAAGACGTTGATTATCAAATCGTGACAATACTGCGTTAGAAGCCACGAATGTCCAAATTATCTGGAAGTTGCGATCGGTTGTTACGTCATGGCGTATGCGGTGGTATTTTCTGACACACGTTCGATGTTTAGTTAGCTCACTTTTAGCAACCTCGAAATGTAGGTAATTATCGTGTGGACGTCATTTTCGTGACAGCTGCGTGTTACACACCCTAAATGTCACCCACACAGCGCTTGATGAGACAACGCCGCGGGCCTAAATCCTAACAGAAAAACAAAGAATAGTTGCTGCCAGAAATGTTTGGTAAGTGGTCATTTAGTAAGGATGGAATCGCATAAAAACAAAAACAAATCAATACTAAGAAGGGATATTTTTATGGCTAGAGGATCCGAAGAATGATTTTTAATGAATGACCTTCCACCAGAAGCATAAAATTCGTGCAAACAGGGAGTTTTTAACAAATCACAATCTACTGATTAGTGTTTCAGAAGATACAGAAAATAAATTTAAAAAAGATTTATGAAGAGTGACGAGGAAATTAGGGTAGAAAGGGTTTTTGGTGATCTAAAAGGAGGGATTTTTTGATCCAAAAGAAACAATAAATAGTTCAAAAACCAAAAATAAAATCTTATTTAGTAGATGCAGAAAACAAGTCCTAACATAGAACTGTGATTAGTGATTACTTCAAAGACACAACCAATTCAAAGAGGGATTTCTTACTTGGTGACCATTTAGCAGAGAGAGATAATTAGTCCAAAGAGGGATTATAGTGTTAGTGACCATTTCCTACAGGCAAGAATCAGAGCAAATGGAAATTAGTGACTATGTATTGCAGGCAAACAAAAATACATACTTTTTAGTAAGTGACTACATTATTAGAGACAGCAAAATAGTCTAAAAGAGGGGTTTTTTTGTTCAGTGATCCATCTACCTGAGACTAAAAACTAGTCCAAAGAGGGGTTAATATTAGTGACTATGTTTAAGGAGAGGCAGAAAATTACTTTCTATACATCAGAAGTAAACAAAAAACAGTCCAAAAGTAGACTTTTTGGCAAGTGACTACTTATTAGAGGCAAGAAATTAGTCCTAACAGGTGGTGTTTTCGATGATTGACAATTTACTAGAATCAAAAACAACAGTGCGAAATGACCAACTATCCCAATGAACTAACGAAGGATTTCTAATTAATTACATAAAAATTAGTTCAACGAGAGTATATTTTTTAAAAATACGAATGCTAAACACAGCGTGACGTCACCGACGAGTAAAATTTCGAGTCCACCCCCAAAAAAATTTAAATATTTTACAGTAAAACTTACTTTTATTTTTATTTTCAAGTCGTTTTGCTGATGATACACATCGATTTCGATCTGAAGTACATTTCGACCAATCGTCTTTGAGCGAAGAAGCAAAATGAAGCTAAAACAAGAAAGGAGAAGCTAAAAAAGCGACATAAAGCCACCTGGTGGCGTTAAGAGGTAACTGGTTGTCAGCTGGGGTTCTTCCACGCGGCCACTCTCTTGTCAAGGTTACAACTGTCCGTGATCGCTGGTTTCTTTCTTTTTTTTTGTTTTTTAATTTTTTTTCTGGTTTCGTCTACAGGTGTGTGACTAGCGGTTATCGGTTCGTAAGACGGTTGAGATATCAAACAGGTTTACATAACTTAAAGTTTTTATTTCTTTGGGTCATTGGGGAACAAGATCGTCGCCGAAACCAGATTGATCTCTCGCATTTACTCAGCAATTTTAAGCGAGGAGAGCAGATTAACAGCAACTTTTAATCGTTTCTCCTTCGAATATTTGAATTCAAAATGTATCCACCGAACTAGTTACAGAGAAAAGATGGTCCCCCGATGTTATGACCTAAATTTAAGGGTGTTTAAAAGTAGCAAAACAACCTAAAAACCTGGATTTGCAGACACTGCCCGAGGAGGAGTCATTTCGATATTTCGCTACCGTTTCTACACACGAAAGGATATTATTATTCACTCCAAAAAGAAAGAAAAAAAACATGCAAATTATCAAAGGCACGTAAGATCTTAAACGTGGTCGACTTAAAAAGATGTTATAAATACAAATTTCTAAAATATCCTCGCATAAATCATAGTTAAAACCAAGGTCGAAAGCGCATCCGAGATTCGAATTTCCACGTACCTAAATGGAATATCTTAACTAACTTACTAGCCGGGTCAAAGGTCAACTTTCTTCTAATTCTATAAAGCGTATAGAAAACGTTAAAGGTCACTCCAAGGGTGCTACTAACGTCGAATAAATATCCAAGACTCTCGGATGTCATTGTACTAAACTCGGCGATTTATGAACAACTGAGAGTTCGTGGGTTGTTGGAGTGTCTTATAAACAAATCAAGGGCATGAGATCTAAATCTGTCCAGACAATAAGTGAGCAACTAGTTGCGTGGGTTAACTTTAGTCTCATTAATAATTTCTCTTACGTTCCTCAAATCTTGATTAACGAATTGGTTTCTTGAATTCTGAATTATGTAAAGATTATTAAAGCTTCTACTCGACACTCCCTCAATTTTTATCTATATCGGTACTTATAAATTATAATGTAAATGTTAAGGAATCAAGAGTATGAGGTGTATTTTTTTTTTAAGCATTGGGTTGGCAAACCACGCACGTTCAATGATTATCCGTGACAAATAGCAGTCGTATTTTTCGCCACATGATCCATCATGGAAGACGTCTTAGAACTTTACAAAGGTGATGTTATCGTAGAGAAAAACACATTGCCACTGGAATTTATTCTGTCATGACTAAATGTTTAACGAGCGGGAAAGTGTCAATGCTTATTTGCACGTGTTTTTGTCTTACTTTAGCCCATCTCAAATTCTTAAACAGTCTTCCAAGTTATGTGAGAAAAATTCAAATTTCTTTCGGGTATAACCGTGCAGATTTTTATAATAGAAATGTGGAATATTTATTATGTTTTTTTTTTCCTTTTTTTAATATGGAAAGTGTGAAGATTATTAGCCGTTTTTAAATGGAAATTACAAAGGTTTATCTAATGGAAATATTGAAACCATAAAGATTTTTTTATATGGAAATGCGAAAACAAATAATTCTTATTACAGAAAGTAGAAAATTTTCCTAATAAATACCAAAACACCGTAAAAATTTCCTAATAGAAAGCAGAAAAAGACGTTGATTTTTCTTAAAAATTCGAAACTCTTGTTACAAAACACGAAAAAGCAAAAATGTTACATCTGTCAGCACACCTTTAACAATGAATAAATTGTGAGTATAACATACAAATTATAAAACAAAAAAATAAATAAGTAAGAAATGACATGTAGCGTGTTTGGTTCATACATATGTAGAAAGTTGAGTGTTTGCTATTGATAAAGATCAAAAAATTCGATTTAAAAAACACATAACTGTGGCTTCTTTACATACAACCCATATTGTATGAGCTGACAAGATAAAGAAGAACATAGAGGGAGAAAAAAAGAGGAGGGGATGATTACAATGGTAAATAACGTGGTACAAAACACTTTTAAGTCATTAAGGTAAATTCTTCGAAATTTTTATGCCACATTCTATTAACAGGATCGTTTTCTATTAGCATTTTATGCATACAAAGTTCGAGAATACGCATTTTTTTTATTGTTGTTGTTGTTGTTGGAGTGTTGTATATTTATTTTTTAATAGAAACTATCCATGTAATAACTGGTGTAAGATTGCGTGCCAAAGGCAACAGAGCAGAAGGCGGTAACTCGTCACGCAAAGATCGGCATTACTACACCAATTTCAAAGAAAACAAACGTGATTTTTTAAGAGAAAAACTTGAAAAAAAGTCGTATTTATATAATTCTTTAACTTCTCAATTTATTGGTTAAGAGTTTAAAGCGTAGCAATTAAGTATTCTTCGTGTACTTCTGTCGGTATGGGGGATTCCCCGCTTTTTAGTTCCGTTTTTCGCCACGGGGGTGTGCTCCCAGCTGCAAGTTGGACAGACTAGCAATTAGGAGTATCAAAGGGATCCGTGTAAGCTCCCACGCCGGAATGTCTTCGGGCATTTTTACGAATGTGATGGAATCTAGCGAGAAAAAATAACTATAACTAGTCGCGTGTGGTTCTGTATAGGATCTATATAACATTATATTGGCATGTGTTATACAGAGGTAACGGTTATATGGGGGGTTATGGTTAGCTTTCACTCGTTTAATTGGGGGTAGCGTTTTATTCTACGAAATTATATGACATAAAACTGTTATAGATCGTAAAATAATCGTTTATAATTATCCTATTTTCAGTTTTCTTTCCGCATAGCTTCGAGGCTGAAATCGATTTTCTAACTGAAAATTATTGTACGGAGGATGGGATTCAAAAGATACTTTTCAACGTGTTAAAAATTATAATCTAGGAAATTTCTTACCCATGACCACTTAAAGCACTTAATTTACCATGTTCTACTCCCAATGATTATTATTTTTTTCTATCGTTATCGGTGGAGCATCTTTATAACAATCTCCGAACACGCAAAGATGATGCTAACAATGTGCCACTCTCCTGGGATTCTTAAGCATCTTGGCAAAATTATCACTTGGTATAACTCACTTCTCGATAAGTAAGGAATATTTTAATTGTATAACAATTCTAGTTTAAGAATTAGGGAAGGTGACAAGAACTGGATCATGTGATAAACTAGTAAAGTGAGTGCCCGCGACCTATCTTCAATCTATCACACGCAAAAGGAACACACGAACGTACGAAAGATGAGAAAATTTTAAGAAGAAAAAAAATTAGAGAGAGAGAGAGAGAGAGAGAAAGAAAGGTCCACTACCGACCAAACATGAAATTTTATGATGAACTTTAAAAGTATTGAAGTCATGCTAGTCATAATTATAGGCCATTTACATCGTCTGGAATATGAAGGGAGGAGAATCATGACAGAACCCTTTTCTGGGAGCGTTGAACTGTTTTTTTAAACATTGAAAAATCCTTTCTCAGGATGGCCATTGGGCTGTAAACGCCTCTTTTTGTATATATTAAAAGCGTAAAATCGTTAATTTGTTACGAGAAATGAGTCATAAGATCACGGGAAAAAAAAAAAAAGTTAAAGTAAAAATTATTCGAACGAATAGAAACAATTCATTGATTTATATTTGTTGTTACGTGATATTTTCTTGCGGATTTCTTTGGAAATTAAAAGCGTACAACTCCCCAATAATTCGTAAAAATCGTGATTTCACGGCTTAGAATAAATTTGCAAAATCGTGGCTTCAAAGTCGAGAAAAATTTGCAAAAATCGTGGTTTGTGGATTATAGAAAATTTACAGAAAATTACGGCCTTAAAAACTGTGAAAAATCTTTAAAAATAATAGTTTTAAGTATTATATGAATAATTAACTTGTGAAATCTCATCCATCGGACAGGATAATTTGCAATTTTGCTAATAAAAATATCGTTGTTCTAAAGATATCAGGAATTTCGAAAACTCATCGTTAAAGACTAATAAAATACGTAAAATTCAAGACTAAAAGGATTAAAGAATTCATAAAATATCAATCACGGCTCTAAAGGCTTCGAGAATTTAGGAAATTAAATTTTACGGCTATTAAAATTTACAGAATTCATGGTTCTAAGAAGTCTGAAAAAATCGTAATTGTAAATACTACAATTTAAGATTTAAAAAATAAAGAAGAGAAATCACGATTCTAAACGTTAGAAGAATGGCCTGGAGGCTGAAAACTCCCACTCTTTAGATACTGACAATTAAGTTATTTCTGTAAATAATTTATCACTTTGCTTTCGGAAAAATCCACAAGATCCTGAAAGTGAAATGTAACTTTCAATCTTATCTCTCGATGTTAAACTTATGCTTATGTCAATTGATTCGTGTTAGAGAATATTTTAAGATAAAATTTAATCTGAGAATGAATCGGCAATTATTTTATTTTCTTTTTTTTTATCCCTCTTCCTCTTTTTATGCAAATGAAGTTCGAGAATCGAAACAGAAACTTGACATTGATAACTACGATGATAATTGAATGCAATGTGTCAGTTGGCATGGTTTTGCATGTTAATGAACCTCACCTAGAAAACACTTCATTATATCAAATCCTTGTTTACTTCTCTGCACATTTTAACAAGTTTTAAGATTTTAATTAATGCAGAGAAGCCAGGCTCGTTTCACTTTTTGATATTATTTTGAGTGCTAGAGTAACGACCCAGACGTATCCTTACTTAAAGGCATGTCATATTTGTGCCAAAATATTGTCTGAGCCAGACTGGTTATATTAGTTTTGCTTGAATACTTTTAGTAGTAGATATGTGGTGAGCTTCTACACCTTATTAAAATCCACCTGAAGAGGTGTAAGGACTAAAGATTTATGCTAAATTAGGCGAAGTGTAACGTCTACAAACTGTTTAGGATGTTAGACTTAACTTCAACTGAAGAATTTAGGACTTCATTCAGCGGGGAGGCCGTTTGTAAAACTACATAAATTACATTACAATTAGCCTATATAAGAGGAATTTATCGAATTTTTAATGTCATTAACCAGTCGAATTAATTAATAAATAGCGAGTAATGGAAGAAGTATCGCGTCAATAGAGAGTTCAACACAATTCAAATCCATTCAAAGGAGCGACTAGCATAAAAAAAAGGGATGCAGTTAGAGCTAACGAGTCGGCATTCGTAGACTGTAATTAAGAAAGAAATGAGATTAAAATTCTAATTCTTTCATAATGTATAAACTCGTTCGATACTATTAAAGATCCATAATACAAAATTTTAACCCCTGAAGCATAAGAAAATATAGAAAGAGGTTTGTCTCAGTTAGAAAAGGACTATTTAAAATAGCAATAATGGCTTTTCTTTTTGTATCTCTTTTTATAAATTATATCGAACATTAATTTGAATTTTAATGGGGTTATAAAAATAGTTTATATAGTCGATTCACTTTAGATCGATATAATAAAAATTGTAACATAGAATCACTTGATGATGCATACTACAAAACCAGAAAAATTACAGATAAATATCAACCCCGGAGCGCATTTATCACTCCAAAATCCATTTCAAAATATATAAATTTCCAAATGTATAATAAACATCGAGCCTATTGTGTCTGACAAATCCGATAAAACTGATAACGATGCAACTTTTAACTCATTTAAACTAGACACGGAGCCAAAAAAATGATACTTAATTAAACCATCAAAGTGTATCGCGGGTTGCCATATTCGTAGAAACGTTCTTCCAATGATTCTGACCTTCTACAAAGATGCTAACTGCGTGTCTATATTCTCAGATGTTCTTCAAAGTCAACGGTCTAGGGTAGAGAGGGTGTTGCATGTAGGGTCAATCAACTAATGTTGTAGGCGTTTGCTGCATCTGCTCGTCTCCAGAGACAGAGAGGAAGAATTCGATACCACTCGCAATTTTATGAATTATTACATTATTATCTAACTTAACTCGTATCCATATCCTACGCTTATTACGTTTTCTTTTGAATCACGTTTTAATTATATGGTTGAGTTTTTTGGAACTTTACCTCTATATAACAGGAAAAACAAGAGGTATGAAGACCTTGCAGCGCTTTGTTAAAACAAAGGGAATAATTCTGATGAAATGGAAAGTACACGAAACGAAAAAAACAGGAGAAGGGGCACGTTAATTGTTTGCATAATTAATTGAGTCTCTTTCGAGACAGACTGCATACCAGAACGATTTTTCGTTAATATATGATAAGGACATCATCTTTATGGTACGGGCAGACAAAATCTGAATTATTGTTTATAGGTTTTATCATACTACACAAGAGAGAAAGAAACAGTTAATAGAATTATCCAATTGTTAGCAAAGAGTTTATGATCGACTCTTGTTTATGAGGGATATAAAACACTCCAATATGGTGTTTTATAACACCTCAGCAACGCCCTGTTGAAATCATATCAACTGATGTTCTGTTTTATAGCCCGCAGCTAACATTAAACGGCTTAAACTATATTAAACGTAAACGAAATGCAAATTTATGTATATATTTTCCTATCTTCCTTACTACACTTGTACGATTTGAAGCTTTCGTAAGTGCCCAACTATCCAATGCGGTGTCTTTCGCGTCACGTGACATTCAATGTGGTCGTTGAACACACGAAACAGGTAAAAATGAGAAAGTCTCTCGCGATAAAATTTCCATTCAAGTCGAGAGTTTTGCGCCTAGAGAGAGACAGAGAGAGAAAGCAATAAAAAGACATTTTAATGACCTATGGAGAATGTTGATTCCTCTTGACCTTTAACCTCGCCTCGGGGATAAGGAAAAATCTTAACGTTTAACGTTTCGAAAAGGTTTTTTCTAAAGAGGTTCTGTTTCATGTCAAGAAAGGCTTGGCTTACGTTTCACTTTCTATCGGTCGTATAAGTCTTTTAATCTAAATCTTTTTTTTCCCCATCCTGTAAATTCTGTTTAAAATTCCTCCCGATTTTAAGTAATTCAATCATAAAAATAAATATATAATTAAATAAAAATTCGAGTAATATAATGTCGCATGACTTGTAACATTTCACTGTCATTGCTTAAGTGAATTTACCTTACATTAAGTGGAACTAATTACACTTAAGTTAAATAATTTGCATCAAATTAATGAATATCCAATTAAATCACCCATAAAAGTTTTTAAAACTTAATTCATCCCTCGTTGCACTATGTGAAGCTGCGTACTGTACATTGCAAGGCAGAACGACCTTGATGAAGAGTGTCAAAAAATTGTTGGACTGGAAACAGAAAGACATAAAATATATATACGATAGCCTATAATTACAAAGAGTTATAAGCTTTCAAATTATTTTTATTTATATTAAAAATAATAATAATAATATATTTTGTTAAGTTATAAAAAAATATATATGCTAGAATTTAACTCTATTTTCGACTTATGCAGGTAGTTATAAAGCTATAAATTGCTCGAAACCAATATCCTTATGGATGTCCTACATATTTTCGAATAATCAGGACAAAATATAAAGGAATTTTCCTTTCATAATTGAAGGTATATTGGATTTTTATAGATAAACCACTACACAGTTGTAAAATGAAGACATTCCTTAACTGTTTAGAGGAATCTCGATACAATTGTACGAATAATAAATAATTTCTCCCTCCCCTAAATTTTCAATGATAATACTTTGATTATAGCTTCGTTGATAGTAGTTAACACTAAATCTATGTTGTTATAAATTGTCAAGGGCGTCGAAATGTCCACGTGGTGCTAGATTGGGTTGGGCTTAATGACATCTTCACTGAGTTGCACCCGTACAAAATTGGGCGGAGCACCAAAGCATTGTACAATGTTTTGTAATTATGAATGCGTTCGCCCTCATTAACGAGTTACTTTTTCATTATTTCTGCTTTAAATGACAGCTTAGAAACGATTTAGACTGATGACGACGAGCATTTTCACTAATAAATAAAATCTCATACTACAAATCGAACTAGAAATGCGGAAAAAAGTCCGAATTCGTGACTCCAACATTAAAATTTGATATATTTAATTTGACAAATTCGATTCTAAACAGGTTTCCAATTATGTTAAAAATCCTAATTAGTGAGAAATTTTATAAAGAAGAAAGTTAAAAATCGAATAATAATAATAATAAAGGGATAATTGCGAGTAAAGAAATAAAATATGAATAATTATATCCAATTTTCTCATCCGTGCGTACCACATGACTCTTCATTGACATCCTACGTGCTAGCTGATAAATCTTGTTGCATGACAGGTGACATATAAATAAAACTGGATTCAAATCCAGAGTTTGGATCATACCAGAGTGAGTACATATTCGTAGTTACTCGGCCATTCCCCGATATTTTTATTTATTTATTATTTTTTTAATGCTTAATCAAAAGTTGACTGACTACACAACGCCTATTTCTCAATAATATATGTTAAGAAGTAGTAATTTTTAAATTTATTTTTTAAAAATAAATATACTAACTTCGAAAGGGTGGTTGAGTTCTACGAATTTCTATAAAAATTCCAAAATTAAATCAGTGTTTAAAAAATAGAAAATTTCATTTTAATTAATAATGCAGATTTTATAAAACACGTGTCTTAAAAATGCAATTTATAAATTAATAATGCCGATTTCATATACAGCATGGCTTTAAAAACTTAATTAATCATATAAAGATGTCAATTTCAAAAAACACGTGGCTTAGAATGTAAATTGATTATTGAAAAAATATTGTCAATTTCACGAAACACGTGGTTTAAAAATGTCAATTTCACGAAACACGTGGCTTAAAAATGTCAATTTCACGAAACACGTGGTTTAAAAATGTCAATTTCACGAAACACGTGGCTTAAAAACGAAATCGATTACTTAAAAATGTCAATTTCACGAAACACGTGGCTTAAAAATGTCAATTTCACGAAACACGTGGTTTAAAAATGTCAATTTCACGAAACACGTGGCTTAAAAACGAAATCGATTACTTAAAAATGTAAATTTCATAACACACGTGGTTAAAAAAAAATACTATCAATTTAATTTATGTCGATTTCGTTAAACATGTGATTAAACAAGCGAAATAGATAATTTAATTATGCCAATTTCGTGGTCTATAAATTGTAGTATTAGAGGATTTTCACTATTGAAAGCTACAGACAAAAAAAAAAAAGGAAAATAATAAAAATAAAAAAAAAGACGACGATGGTCATCGACTTAAACAACTGAATAAATTCGGATAATTTAATTTAACGTCATTAAACGTCCCGAGGAAGAACGAGTTGGCTTAATTAACTGAAGATTATCAGTCACGTATCCAAGTGAAGACAACTATTTCCTTCGACTATTTATGACTATAGAAAACGATGGATTAGAAGAAAATTAAGTAAAAGTACTGATTAAAAGAAGATAATTTCAAATAGTTTCTCCTCTCGAATTTAAATTTACTTGAAGTATACTTTTGATATTTTAGTTTTTCTCTTATGGGATTTTAATTGATCGATAAACGCCTCTTCGAACTTTTACGAGCACGTGTGGGACTATTTTTTTTTTAAATATTATTTTATTTTATTTTTCCTTAACCTGTTTATAAGTCAGGTTGAAAATAAATTTACATAAAGAATTTTTTAAAAGATAAACAAATTTATGTATTAAATAACGAGTAGAGCATTGTTAATGCTCTGGAGAAAGTAACGATTCTCTAAAAACTTCCAATTTTTTTTTTTTTTCTTTTTCTGGTACAGTTGAACTATTGTTTAACTGAAGATGTAAACAATGGTATCAACTCCGCCATCTGGTGCACGAAAATATAATCATTTAAAACCTAATTAATGACATTTATCACAAATAAAGCATTATCCGAGTGAACTGAAGCGAAATAAGTCTATATTAAAGGAAATACTTAAGTTAATGAAAAGATCTTTATGGTGTTTAAGCCTTCATTGTTTTATTTTCTTTTCATCATTTTAATAAGATTATTTTTCTGTTAGAGACATCTATTGTTAGAAAATTAAACACGGGAGCCCTGCAGGTGACGTCACGCCGTGTGTTTTCGTTTTAAATCTCGTTCGACAAAAGGAAACGCGTGAATTGTATCTAAACGTTTCATTTTTTTTTTTTTTTAATTTTTCTGTAGTAAATTAGAGAGACTCTTCTGTTTAGCGATTATAAAAATACAGGAGACAATCTTATCGCAATTCGATTGTTATTTTAAACAGAAAGTAGATTATATTATATGCATATAATACAATTTAAAAAAAATTCCTTTTTAATTAAAATTAATCCCTGGCTCCTGTATTTTTATTATGAGAAACTAATGAGCTTAGCAATGTGTAACTTGTATAACCCCCTTCTTCTTCCTTATCTCTAGAAATTGAAAAGCCATCAGGTTTTCTGCTAGGGGGAAAAGAGGGGGAAAACATTAATTGTAAGGAAAACGTTAGAATTTTGCTTAAACTGTTTAAGTAGGAATTAGTATGCAGCAGCACGCCTGCAGGAAAATTTAACTTTCGTTTAAAATTAGAATTCTGTTGGAGACAGTTAACCTTGAACTATGTTTTTCTCTTCCTACATTCTACCTCATAATTGTTTAATAATTGCTACGATAATAATTTATGTGATAATAAGTGTTATGAAGTATCGTTTAACATAAGCCATACACTTTACAGAAGAGTTTGTAGTTTTAAATTAAAAAAAAAAAGCTAAATACAAAAAAATTTTAATTAAATTCTAACAATTCCTGATTGTATTTTATTTGATGAAATTTTAAAATAATCAATTATCATTAAATTGAGTGAGTAATTAAATACTTTTGAGACAAAAAATCACAAAAAAGCGTGCCGCTTACATTGTATCTAATGTATAATTAAAGCCTTCAAAAACTGCAACATAATAAATATAATTTTTTACTTTTTTCAAAAAGGAATTTACATTTTTACATAATTTGTGTTTACAAAATTTCTAATTTTAAAGTGAAATTATTTTGTATAATTACAAAATTATTAGTTCACCAACTTTACATGTAGGGAGACACTTAACAATGGTTATTAATGGCAACCTTTTTCTTTTTTTTATCAAAAAAATAGGGAAGTTATTTGTATAAATATTACATTGTCCCTTTTTGAGAATAATTTGCACATTAAACTTTTATGTAATGTTCATTATACGGTGTTAGCAGGCCTGACTGATATAACATCCTGTTTATAATTACATATTGGACACTGATAGTTTGGATCTGACATTATATTACTCTGGAAATAATAATTTTTTCAATATTTTACTCACTTTAATAAAGGGTATAAATGTTTTAAAAAAATTATTAAAATTCTTACCATTATGCAATAGTAGCAAAATACATGCTTACAACCAATATCGTGGGGAAACGTTGGCCATTGTTCGCAAATGGCGCATTGTTTGAAGTCTTTTGTCGTCCTCTCGGAAGCATGAAAACTTGTTTTTGATGACGTTAATCTTTTTATTATATTTTTTAATCGTTTCAAATTAATTATGGGAAGTACAAATGATAGGAATTCCTATAAAAAAAAAAAAAAGCCAATNTGCGTTTACTTCTGTGCTAATTTTACTGTCAGCATGCTCAACCTATATACTTTTGTCCGAGTGCTGTGCTCATTGGCATTTACTTTAAAGTTGTGTAATGTCATTTTTAATGGAATTAGTAAGCTGGGAGTGCTAGCTAATTTTGCTGTTGAGCTTTTTGCAAATTCAATATGGTTGCTCCCATGAAAAAATTACTTTCTGTACAAAGTAATTACATGGTTAACAAACACAATCCATTCCAAGATTTTGTTTGCTTATATTATACTTTGATTTAATGTTGAATATTATATACAGGATGACCCAAATGATAGTTAACTGACTTTTGAGCCATTCAATATATAATTTGAAAATAAAGAAAATATGTTTGGATGTCATATAGGGTACATTTACTTCTGAGCTAATAGTGCTATTTCTGAACACCGGAAGTGACGTCATTAACACGTGTATTCATGCTTACATGTTCAGTTCAAAAGTAAACATGAACACTAACAAGAAATATGGCAGTTTCCTGCAAATAATATTGTCAAAACTGTTATTTTAAATGTTACGTTACAGATAGAATTACTTGATTCCGAATCAGACAAGAATGATCTTATTGTGGATATAATTGTGGAAAAAATGAAAGAAGATAAAAAAAAATAAGCTCAAATAAAAAAGATAGAAACTTTTATTGAAGAGACTGTACCTTTTTATAATCCAATCAATTTTAAACAGCATCTTAGACTTACAAGAGAATCTTTTGAAAGTCTCCTTTAAAAAAGAAGCCCAATTTTAGACACAGAAAAATTACTTTCTCTGGAAGATAACCTGCCTCTCCTCAAAAGCAGCTTTTATGCTGCCTATGGACATTAGCAAATCAAGAATCATTCAGGTTTGTTTATACAAAGTAATATATGAAATCAGATGAAGTATATAAGAGAATAGCAGATTATACATATATATATAATACATATTTAATGCAATTGTTTTACCCAGTAAATAGATGTGATGTTGCTCTTTTATGGTGTAACTAAACTGAGTTTAAAATCAACAAATAATTGATATTAAATACAAAACATTTTTTTTTTCTTTCTTTCTTTTCTCTAAGGGTAATGGCGATTGTTTTAATATGCTAGACAAACTGTGTGGAATATTTTAAACAAGGTTGTTAATTCTCTCTTAGTGTTAAATCAAAAAATAATCTCTTGACCATCACAGCAGGATGCTGTAAGAATAATGGAATTTTTTTATACCTAATATGCTTTTCCTGGAATTATAGGCTCTATTGATGGAAAGCATATAGACATTATGACATCAACTGAAGAAGCAGCAGCTTATTTCAATAGAAATAAGTATTACTCTGTCATCATATAAGTTTAGTTTGTAATGAGAAAATGGTACTTAAATGATACAATTTCTTGAGAAGTCATTTCCCATATGTAAGTGAAAATTCATTCAAGTATACAAACTTATGTAATTTTGGAATTATTATTAAATTAATGCTGTTTGTTTCTTTATGATTTATTTAATGCTCTGAACATAACACTTGAAGATTCCAAATGCATCTGTCTCAGATTCATTCTTAACTATTGTGAAAACATAATTTTTTATCAGTAAATTTTCGTCGATGGAGAATTATTTTTCAATAAAAATGAAGACAAAATCTGCCCAAAAATATCACCATTTTATTTTTTTTATGTTCCAAGACAATACACTTTTTCAACAACTGACCTTTCTTCAGTCGCTGAAAAAGTGTATTGTCTTAAAACATAAAAAGAAATAAAATGGTCATCCTTTTGGGCAGATTTCACCTTCATTTGTATTATAATTTTTTATAATTAATCTTGAATATATCTCTGTTCAGCTCCATTTACTCACTTAATGCTAAATGTTAATTAATTAAGTTGATAAATATGGGTGCGTTTACTTCTGTGCTAATTTTACTGTCAGCATGCTCAACCTGTATACTTTTGTCCGAGTGCTGTGCTCATTGGCATTTACTTTAAAGTTGTGTAATGTCATTTTTAATGGAATTAGTAAGCTGGGAGTGCTAGCTAATTTTGCTGTTGAGCTTTTTGCAAATTCAATATGGTTGCTCCCATGAAAAAATTACTTTCTGTACAAAGTAATTACATGGTTAACAAACACAATCCATTCCAAGATTTTGTTTGCTATCTGAATTGTTCATTAACCGATTATCGATTTACCATAGGCTTTTATGGGAATTTGGTTAATTCGTTCTGGAGACCCCAAAAAATAAAAAAATATATACTTTCTTACTACATTTATTTATATGTAATAATAAAAATACATATATACACAAGTCTTGCATTTTTTATTAGTCATGTTTTTTCTGTTTGTGGGGGTTAAAGAATCTGTCTAACGTCGATTGCTTTTCTTTCTTCAAGATTTTTCAGAAGTAATTAATAACATTGTAATTGTAGAGATCCCTAAGCCTATTAACCTCAACCTTGTCCTGGTTTGGATTCTCTTTCAAAAGAAAACATATCTTGCTAAGTTTCTTGGTGTTCTTCATTCAAGGGTTCTTGGTGTTTTTCTGTCATCAGATTTGTTTCAGGTTCCATTACGAGCTCTTCAATGTTCTTTATTTCTCAGATGTGACTTTTGTTACTCCTTACACTGCTTGAGTCCTCTTGATAATACAGTATCTTTCTTAGATAAGATTGAACAGCAACCTACTGTAGACCTGTTCAAGCCATACTGCCCAGCAGCAACAGACATCAGACATCTGCCCACTCTCTACCTTTGCTATTATACTCTCACCTTTCGAAAATAAAACCAACACAAAACTTTATGAGTGCCCACCCAACAGTCTCATGAATACTATAAAAAAATTGTTTCTGTCAGAAAAATAAAAGGCTGGAATTACAAGGGAGAGTTTCAAAGTTCGGAGGAATACTATCCGATCAGTATATACTGAGTTGAGCATTGATGTCGATGTCTCCTGCACTCCAAAAAGTTTTGAATTGTTGTCTGAAGACAAGGGAAGACCAATCAGTATTCATTATTTTATGTCGCTTCTTATTGTGTTTGTTCTGTGAGGTGTTCATTATCCAATCATGTGTTCATTGCCCAAACATAAAAATCTTTAGCAAAAGTGTTCGTTATCTGATCTGTTTGTTAACCAATTACACACTGTGTATATATTATATGTGTCTATATATATAATATGTGTGTGTGTGTGAATAAAATGTGTTAAGCATATGAATATGAATATATTGTATATTTAAATATGTAATAAAATATATATTTGTTGTATACACTTGAATAAATATATATTTAATTAACATATAAGTATACATTTAACTGTTAATGGAATTTGCATAAAAAAATTTATTATTCTGTGTAAAATATTTTAATAACTTGCTAAAGGAATTTTTCCTTCATAACATGCTATTCAACATTAACCTAATTGAGAATTCATAAGTTCTTGTTTCCTCTCTACCTCTGAAATATGCATTGAGTAATCACAATTTTTCCTGAATTTTTGATTGCATAATTATATATAAAAAATGACACAAAATTTGCAATTAAATTTTAATGATATTAAGATTTAAATTGTAAAATATTCAAATTTTGAGATGTATACAAAACATTGCTCTTAAAAATAATAATTAGATAATTCAGCTAAGCTATAATATAAATGATTAAAAATTGTAAAATGCCAATTGAGAAAGCAACCTAAATCTTTGATAATACAATTTTATAGTTTAAAATACTAAAAACCATACTGAAATATTTTATATTTATTTCAATCGTTTTTGGAATTGTTTTTAACTAAATATTTTCTAGAAAAACGCAACTGCAAAAAGAGGTTTTAAACTGACCTAAAATAAAAAATTATCAGAAATTGACAGCAATCAGCAATCAGAAACTCAACTGATGTAATGCACAATTAGCTTACAACTGGCAACTGACATATAGCCTTTACATGACAAACTTTTACCTAGAATAGCTCAGCCCATAGATAGAATTTCAAATTTCTGGCTTTGTCATGACATTGGCCTTCTCAAGTTGTATGTATTTGCAAAAAATCATGTTTTATGGTCATGCAGTTGCTTTAAACTTTGATCACAGACAAAACACTTTCTTTCTTATGCAGAGCTCCATTCTATTATTATTATTATAAGCTTAAAATAAACTGCTGGAAAATGTTAAAATAGTACCAAGTAATCATTTTCATCAACTCCAATTTATTTCCTAAACCAAAAACAAATATTTTTATAGTTAATTATTTAAAATTAAAATTTAGAAATTGACAATCAATCAAATAAACAACTTACAAAAACTTCCACATTCTACAAAGTCAAAGAACCAAACAATTTGAGTTTTGCAAGTTATCTATTTGATCACTCACCAATTTTTAAAAGATTCAGTTTATTCTTGGCCTGAACAGAAAAATAAATGTTCAAAAACATAACTCCTGAAATTTTTAAATTAAATATTCATACAAATAAAAAAAATGTCTTATAGCAATGAGAAAAATAAATACATTTAATGTAAAACTTACAGCAAATCCATGCCACAGCAATTCTCTATTCATATATTCATACTGAATCTAAAAAAACAAATCAAATGTTAAGTTCAATTTAGCTATCTGCTGTTTAATAATCTAAATATATAAAATTACTTGTCCTGACTGACTGACTGATTGATTCATCATTGCCCAGAGCAAACCGCTGAACCTAAAGAGGTGAAATTTGGTGCACAGGGTATGTCATGAAAACGCACACTAAGAAGGGATTTTTTAAAAATCCCTCGCGGGGAGGAGGACTAAGGCTTAACCTAAAGAACAGCTTCTACTGTACTATTTTAGATGCAATTTTTTGTTTTCTAATACGTTTAGTCTTCATTGAGTACTTAGGTGTATTAAATTGATAACATTTCAGACATTGTTATAAATATTTTTATATATTTCGATTTTTTAACNTGGTGCCTAATGTCTACCTCTAATACGAAATTACTTAGTTTCTAATTCTTAATTTTAGCATAATATTAGCCTGATTAATTATGGCAATCGTTTGGCCTAGTATCAATACATTGGGTTTCGAGATATTGATATATAAATAGTTTCATTTTACAAAGCATTTTAAATATCAGAGTTCTCCCTTGGGTTAAAACACAGAATTTTAATATACAAGTGAAAAAGTTAAATATATTCAAATACAGGATGTCAATTAAATATTTATCCAGGGACAAAAGAGATCATTCCAGCATTGGTTATGTGAGGTAGTAAAGTGCAACAGATACAAATACACCAGATATTACATTTCCACTGCTATCTGCAACCAGAACAACATGAAGAGGATGTCACACAGTTATTTGAGTGGTGCACCATCTTGACAAACCACATTCCTTCAGCACATTTTAAGAAACTGATGATAACTTGCCATTGATATAACTAGAGCAGGTTTGTACCAACTCATTAAGTACCATCTTATTTTCAGACATGTCTGTGGCTTATGGAACAGTTTGGCAACCACTGTATAGGGATGACTAAATGGCTATGAGGATAAGGTGACAGCTTACCACTACAGAGGACCCAGGATTGGATCCAGACAGGTCAAAAAACACCAGGAATTTTTCAGGCAGGGTGGTCTGTCCGGATATCTTGAGTCCCCATCCTTCACCACCTCTCTTGACCATTTAGCCATCACTATTCAGTGGCCTGGTTAAACCTATAAATGGCTTTAGTCCCAAAATGCTTCCAATGTATAATTTTGTTTTAATAAAGTAGCACTTTACATTTGAAAGAATCAAAATTTTTTTAAAAATTTTGTGAAACTTTTTCTGTTTTGATTTGACTTTCAATTAATTTTCATGATTTTGATAACAAAATATAAAAAATATTATACCTGTCTAACATATATATTTGATATCAATAGATTATCCATTATCCTTTGTTTTAGCCATGGTGTACCAATTAACAATATTCCTAATAGCCACGATTTCCTTCTTGATAGCAGTTGTCTATCCTTTTCATTTCTATATTCCAAATCTAGCAACTGTTGGCCAACTGTAGCTCCTTTTGAAATAACACTGTACTAAAAATAATTTTCAGCCAATTAATGTTATATTAATAAATTTTAATTGTTTAAATTATTTCTTTATTCAATTTTTAATTAATAGAATATATATTTATTGTCATATTTTTTATATTTTTAATAAAACAGTGAGTAAAAATAAAAAAAAACCTAACAATTGATGAAAACTTTTATTTATAAAATAAAAAGACATCTTAGAATAGAGTGAATTTATTGCATATTTGCTACTTGATTACAAAGAATGTGCTTAAAATTCCCAAAACCACCAGATTTGTTCACTGAAAGGTCACATATGGCATTATATGCTATGAACATTTATTTCAATTATTTGCACCGTAGCAGTTGGCAATTTCTCTATTTTCTGCTCTCTTTAACTCCTTTTACTTTACAATTAACCCTATCTATGACTTCTAAAGAAGTAAGTAAAAGAAAATATAAATATCAATCTACATTTAGTAAATGCTAAATTTAAGTTGCTAGCAATCTAAAGTATTTTAGAGACATGGGAATGGGAAGTGTATAATTAGTGATTCAGTATTTAGTATTAAGATATTATTACATCACTTCAGTTGTTCCAGCAAAAACTGTTATTCTGGCATGGTTCTCATATTCATACACCAGTTTTCTGGCGTATTTGGAACCAGAAAACTGGTGATTAACCTATATTTAAGCTTGTTTCCTGAGAAGAAAAGAATGGAGAAATAAAAATTATATGTTGAAGTAAATTATACATAAATTTTAGAATTAAACATATTTACTACTTTTGTAATTTTCAAAGTTACTGTTTCCAAATTCAGTAAGTTTATAGAGTTAAAAATAAAAAGAAAAATAAATTGTGTCTACTGTAAAGTTTTATAAATAGCACTGCACATGAAAAATAGGATTTTTAACTTAAAATAACAATATAAATTAAAATAACTTACATTGATAATGAAAATATTTTGAAGTTTAGCTTACCTTCCAAACAAAAAGTTTCAATAAAGCTGTTAATTCTGGTTGAATATTTTGAAATGAACTAAGCTAAAATTATAAAAAATTATAAAAGCATTTAAATTTTAATATTAAAAGAAAACAATGTAGGAATATATATATAATAAGTAAAAATATGCTAAAATATAATACATCTACAAACAAAAAGTATTGAAATAAATTTTTTCATTGAAATAAGTAAATAGAAGCAAATGTAAATATCAATGTACTGTACATTTTATATTCAGTGGTAAACTTTCTTCTATCCTTCTCCAGTATTTAAGTGTTTAGATAAATGAAACAACAATTGAAGACCAGAGAAGAATAGAAGAAAGATTACTGCTGAATGTCTTTATATAAGGCAGTTTATACTAATAGTTAAATGCAATGCAAACTTTGAACCCAATCCTCTATATAATTAGTATACTTTTGAGTTATATGTGTTACCAGGAGAGAGGAAAGCAACCCTTTACGAATAAACTTTCCCATGTGGGAAAGTCAATTGGCTTGATCTGACAATGTTGCATACTAGCAGTTGATTTCCTATTAAAACTGTATTCGTAATAATAATTGCATAGTGAGGCAGATAAGCAGCCTCTAATAAAAGGTTGACTCCACAAGAAGACTGTTATTTTCCTTAAGTGCGAGAAAAAGACATCAAAAGACTTGTTATTGTATAGTCTTAAAATGTATTAATTCTGTTTTCATAATGTTGGCAGCAAAACAGAACAGCTTGACCTCTCCCTATGACCTTATTTTTACTTATTTTTAATTAAATATGTGTGATTTGTTATTCTTGTTGTTGTTTGTTTGTTTTTGCTATTTTTTTCCTATATATTCTGTAAAAGGTTTTAAGTTGATATGGAGGAAGGAAATCTAATGTCAAAATATTTCCTAATTGTAAATAAAATAAATAAATAAATTGTATGTAAATATAATCATACATATTGTGTTTAACAATGATTATGACAAACTTCTTAAGAATGATGTGAAAGTGAATTTAGCAGCTAATTACAAAATGAAAGTGTTTATTAATCTTTTATGCAACTTCTGTTAAGTAATTTGACTATATAAATGTAAAAGTGAGAAATTCTAAGACTTTAGTTGTAAATTTTAGCTTATTTTAGAATCCATAATCTATGATTAAAGCTCATAAAAGAAAATATTTGGCAATCCAAGAATTGTAATTCTTGGATTGCCAAATATTTTCTTTTATGAGTTTTACAAATATTTTCTTTTATAATTTGGTTAAATTATCCTACAACATTAAATTTATGAGGATAAACATGTATCAGTTAATTATAAAAATATATAGATACTATTACTTCAAAATCTTATAGCTATACTTAGATTCTTTTTGTATTTTTATTTTGTGTGATAATTAAGAGCATCTTTCATTGCTCTTTCTTCATCAAGAAAATGTAGGTAATGCCTGTAATCAAATGTTGCAAGAAGCTTATTATAAGTAAAGGACTGAGGAAAAATATTAGTTAAATCAGGAAAATAGCTGAATATAAATTTTCAATATTTTGTGTTTACCAAAGGCCAATACTAAAAAAAGGCAGCAAATCAAATAAATGGATTTCTGGATTAATTTTTGGACTATCAAGACTAAATAATGACTATGCAATTTATGGTAAAGGAATCTGGCTGTTTGAAATTCAAAGTAATTATAAGAGTGGTTTATTCATTACATATATATAAGACAGGAATTATACTCACAACTGAAAAGTACTTAATAAAAAATGCAAAAAGGATCCTAAGTAATTAATAAAAAAGGTACAAGAAAAGTACCTAATTGACCTAAAATTTATTTATTGATTTGAAACTAGAATAGAAATTTACAATGATTTAGGTAGTTCTTTCAACAGTGATAAATATAAAAAAAAAAAAAAATGATTGTAAAGGTTTCATTATTTACTTTCATTGAAGTAAAACCTGTGTATCTATTGTAAATAGTGTGTATTAAAAGCCTTATTAATACTTTTGTTCTGTTTTTCTGTTACTAGGAACAGAAAGCTAAGATCACAGTTGTCTTCATTCATTGATATGTTTAACATTGAAAACATAAAACTTCAGCATTATGTATGACAGTTCATCTTTAGGAGTCAGTAAACATTCAAAAAATAGTTTATTGGCTCCTAAAAATGAATTTTTAGTTCAAAAATATTTGCATGTACATTGTTTTAAATTTTGTATATCTTTTAGATTTAAATGGCTTCTGGACATTTTGATTTATGTAATAGTATTTTATTATACAAAATTATTGTAATTACTCACCTGTAAATATTGAAAACAATTATCTATCTGTGATTTAAATAACAAGTGCAATTCATTATCCAATGAAATAGAATCTAACTGCAAAATAAAATATGAAATTAATGAAAAAAGTAATAACTACATGTAGTTATATTAGACAAATTCATAAAATTTATTAATTGAAGTGAAACCTTTTCTATAAGGCTTATAGAATTGCGTTTGTTCTCAAAATTCATTCAATAGATTTTTATTAAACTTTGTCATTTGCCATTAATTGTAATGCAGAATCCAAACATGCAATAAATAATGGGGGTCCGTAACTTTGTTTTTCAGATATAAGGTCATTTCAGGAGCACATGAAACAAAGCAATATTGAAATAATCACACTACAAAGTCATGCGATATTTTACAGTCGCTGGCATGTCTTGAATGGGCTTATAGAATCATGTTCATTCTCAAAATTTAGTGGATAGATTTTGATAAAACTTTGCATTTTTCATTAATTAAGATGAGAAATCCCGTGGGTCCATTTAAATATAAAAAATCCAGCAATGAATTGTTTAATTTTCCAGACAACATTTAAAATTCTGATGAAGCTATCTGTTACTATATTTCATTAAACAAACTGTTTACATTTTCAATTACTATAAAATTAAATTTTATTTTTTTTGTAATTGTTAAATTTGTTTTGTTCTGTTTTAAAATTTAGTTACACTGTATCTCATCATTTAGTGAACCACTCAAAATTTACACTTTCCCCCCATTTAAAGTTTGATTACTCTGTCATGTATCAGATGAGGTTAAAATGGAACGGAAACATCACGAATATGGCAAAATACACATGTACACATGTACATCCAGAACTCCAATACGTCACATGCAAGTTGTCTATAAGGTTCCACCTGAAAACATTAATTAAAAGATACATTTTAAAACTTAGCATTAATTTTTGAGCATCTCTAACAAAATCAGAAATAAAATAAGAAAAATTATGGAGAATAGCATGTGATGAAAGATCTCTCTTAGAAGAGTTATTTTTTGGATTTTTATTATTTAAATGGCTTAAAACTCTACCCAGAGAATACAAATGCAGATCTGAATGAGGTAGTTGGAACCTTTTCAGAGTTGTAGACCATAACCATAGATAGGCTGACTATAATATTTACAATCCAACTGGGGACAGCTTTCAGAATCAGTGAAAATGGGGTCTAAAACTGATTGAATGTCGGTTATTTTTTAAAATTTATTTATTTATTGATCTATAAATTGATATTATTATAATAACATGCTAATAAAACTGCTTTATTCAACAACTGATTCTACCACCAAATATTAAAAATAGACAAAATTGGAGACGGAGACAAAACTGGGATGTATGGGTCGTGTTCAGTAAAGCTAAACACTAAGTCAAAATTCTGAGGGGCTAACTGGGAGGAACTCAGAATGTACCAAGCATTATTGAATGATATTCTTTGCCAGACAACTCGGAAAACTGGTAGACAAAGTTAAAAAGTAAATATAATAAATTAAAACAGTAATTTCTTTACCTTTAAAAATGAAGTTATTTAATTCTGCACAAGCAGTCATTACAGTTGTAAGCATAAAATTCTTCAAAGCAAAAACAAAGAGAGACATCACTAAGTCTACCCAAAGTAGTCTGAGTAAACAAGTAAAAATTCTTACAGTGAGCAAAGTCAGAATTACTAAGAATATCATCCAATATCACAGCACAGCCTGACTGAGTTGGAATTCTGCATTACCGAACACGACTCCTGGTCACCCTACAATAGGAGTAAAAAACTGAAACGGAACCGATGGTCTACACCTGAACCTTTGCAAGATAAAGACCCCAAAACCAGTCTACGTAGACAATTGGTTCCGTTGACATTTTTTACTTCTATAGACATGGTCTACAGCTCCAAAAAGATCCCGATTGACTCGTTCATACCCAAAATTTTACCAATGCATGTTTCATAAGCAATAGTAATAACAATTCTGAATTATCCCTGTGTAAACACTGTAATTACGTAAGTGTTAATATATTTTTCTTGTATCCCATAAATTATATCATAAATTACCTAAGAGTAACTTCTATTATGATGTGGAAATGTTGATTTCCAACATAATAAAGTAATAAAACGGATAATTAAGAACTGTATATAATAATATTTAGCTGACATTTTGTTTGCTTTTAATTCTTATCAGACAGTTATGTTTTTTGTTGTTGTTATACCTGATTTGTTCGGGATCCAAGATGTTTACTTCTTCCATCTGCTGCCATATTTGTTTACTCTGAAAACGCGCTTCTTCCCGTTCTATTCGATTAGCATAGAGTGTGACGACAGGTATATAACACAAGTTGTAGAACTGAGGAAATGACGTCAAATTGACGTAGTAATATATCACATCCCAAGTAATTGAACGAAAATTTTATTTATTTTTCAATTATTTTTAAAATTCTCATGTTAATAAAAATAAATTGTTTGTAAACATGTCGTCACGTGATATTTGTTTATTCTGCCCTATTGTATCTGTAATATTAATAATATTTTCTTACTTACTATTTCTTTAGTGGTATTTAATTATAAATGTTTTAATAAAATTTACATAAATATTTTGATGTCAATATTATTTAATGTTACCCTTGGAGATTATGTACAAGAAAGAAATGTTATTATCACGTGACCCTTTCATCTTATTCGTGCATCAAAGCGCCTCAAGTGGTAATTCGAGGAAATAATCAGTAATGGCGACGTGGTGTCCATGTGGTTTGTGGTGACTTTATACCGTATGACTTCTTTTAAAATGTATGTCTCTCTTTGTGTTTTCACGACTTTCTATTGATTTTAGTAGGAAGATAAGATAGTGATTACCAGAAGAATAAAAAAGATATGGATAAACGTTTACGTATAGAGGATACAAACGATATATATATAGGTTCAAGTTGCTGCAGATGTCATAATTTTTTAATAAGAATGTGAAATATATGAACGAAGTAAAATAATTATTAAATTTACTTTTATATTAGGAATGCTACGGAACAAGTGTGCATTTTTACAGAAAAGACAATCATTAAAATATATGTGTTTGTTTAAAAACATTTACAAAAGGTGCTTTTCGGTTGATTTGCCATGTTCCTTAGTAAAACAAATCGAAAAAAATACAGATAGGGTACTATATAGGAACAAAGAAAACTTATACATGCATTCAATAATGGAAAATATAGTTAATTATCAAGAAAGTGTTGTTAAACATCCTTCTGTTAGTAAGATTTCATTCAAAACTATAATAAAAGTGGAAGAAAATTTTATAAGGTCTCAAAGTAATGAGGAATCTGATAACTATAATGTAAACAAAGCTGTGCAAAGATTCTGCATTCTCTCTGAAGAAAATTTTCAAAATCCTGTAAATATAGAAGATCCTAAGTATGAAAATATGGTAGATATCATTTCTAATAACTTGTCTGTGTTGAATAACAATATGCTAATTAGTATTTTGCATTGTTTTTGCTTGTGGCCAGTAACTGCCTCTACAGAAACTCGCAATTTCAAAACTCTATGGAATGCACTTGATGAAGAATGTGCAAATCGTTTGACAGATTGGTCTAGGAACACACAGTTTTTAGTAGCAAATTATTGGTTTCATTTGAGACTGAGCAGGATTACTAAATATAATAGACGATTGATAAGATTATTATTACATACTGTGGATACTTTAAATCCTTCTGAATTTGTTCAATTAATGTTTTATATCAATTTACAAAGATGGACAAATGAAAAGTCTCAAAATAATGTAGAAAATAAAATTAATCACATAATGTATCAGATTAGTATAAATGAGCTGGCAATTATAAGCATGGGACTTTTTAAATCTAGAAGTAAAATTAATAACTCTTCTGTCTTGAAAAATATGATTAATTTAGTAAAGAAACAAATACCAGAGATTAATAATAATTATTCTCTTGCTTCACTTCTAAAGCAAATTAGGTACAGTTCTCAATCTGAACATGTTAAAGATATTTATGATTTGCAAACCAAATGTATACCTTTTGTGGATAAGTGGAATCCTCCAGCATGTATTCATGTAATATTGTTAGGGACGAGTATCAATGTTCGCCACACACAAATTTTAGATGCTGTCGCTAACAAACTTTTAAAAGATATTAAAGAAGTACGTTTAAAAGAAATTACAAAATTATTACATTGTTTATCAAAATATTTTCACAAACCTGATACAAATGTTGATATATTTCATACATTAATTAATGAATTAAGAACTCCTCTAAGGGAAGAAGAAATTTATCAATATCCAACATGTCTTTTACAATTTCTACTAAGCTTATCTTTTTTCAGTTCATATCCAGATGATCTTTTAGCCAAGCTTTTCAATTTGGATTTTATAAATTTAATTAAAGGTTATTTACAAATAATTATATTTTAATAGATATTGGTTATATAAATATATAAAATATTTTCATTCTTATTGCTTATTTTCTTACAGAAAAATCTCAATTGGATACAAATGAAGAACTGTTAACATTGTATTATGCAGTACAAATTGAAATGATGAATAATAAAATTAAATTTAATGCTGATGAAATATTAAAGGTAATTATTATTATCATTTGATTTTTTTTTATGCTGAGAATGCTAAGAGTGGCTTTTTTCATGCCCATTATGGGTTCAACCAGACCCTATAATGGAGGTACTGGATGGTGAGGAATGAATGCCTAATGTATTCAGTCAAGTTAATCGTGAACATTTTTGAGAATCTCAATTTCCAAAACAGCAGACTGAAATTTTTAGTCTCCACCATTTTGGCATTTCTATTTATGTAATTTAAAATGGAATTTGTAATTATTTTAACTAATTTTTTAAATTATTTTTTAAAGGATTTTGAATATTCTTCAAAGCATTCCAGTTATACCCATCAAAATCAATTTTTAGGTAGTATCTGTGAAGAACTGAATAAAATTTTTTCAAAGGAATTTTTCTCTGTTCGAAAAATATTACCATATTCTCGTTATCAAGGTAATTACAGTTATAATTTATAATTAATTTTTAAGATAACAGTAGTTTTTTTCAAATGAAATATTTGTTGCATTTCAGAAATAATCCTAACACAAAATAGAAATGGAATTTTTATACCATTACCAGTATTAGAAGAAAAATCTTTAAAATTGTTGAAGCCTTCATTAAATAATAATTGGTAAAATGTTTATTATTATATATGAAAAATTTCTTGTATTTTTATGGAAGAAATTTTTTCAATTCTAATATAATAAATATTCAAACATAAATATGTAACAAGTTTATAATTAAGAAGTTAGTGAGAAAAATGTTGTTTTTCAGTTTCAGAATGAGTAATGATAAACTTTTAATATATTCTTTGCTCATTTCTTAATAGTCTGCTAGAATATGATGCATTGTTAGCAGACAGATGCACATTAGTTTTATTAATAAATTTCAAAAACCTTGAATATATGATATCATCAAGGATGTGTCAAAGAATTTTGAAATTTATTAATAAAACTGACGGGTCTTTGTCCATTTTAGATACTTTATCAAGGTCAACAACTGAAAATATTTTATGATGACAAAATTCCTTACAGTTGAAGTAATTTTGACATTTATATGCTAGCTGGATGTTTTGGTTTTGATAAATAACAAGTTAAATTTTCCTGTTCATGTTAATAAAAATTCTCTGTTTGATAGAAATATTTTTATGTATATTATAGTATATTTTCTAATAGTTGATTGTTTTAGAATAATTTTTCATTTTCATAGCAAATAAATACAATAGATATTTGATTAACTAACTTCTGCTTAACCAAGATTTCATATTATCTGAAGTGAACTGTAGAATATTTTGTCAAAAAACTCAAGATATGGAACTGATGCGATTTAGAATGTACAGAACAGTTAATTTCATGAATTTCAGTTGAGCAATTTGTAGTACTTAAAATGACTAGATGTTTTTAAAAATAATTTACTCTAGTGATATCTTTCATCTATCTTATTAATATTTACTTATCATCTATCTAAATATATAAAATTGCTTGTCCTGACTGACTGACACTTATTCACTCACTGATTTAGCATTGCCCAGAGCAAACCGGTTAACCTAAAGAGGTGAAATTTGGTAGACAGTTAGGGTAAGTCATGGAAACGCACACTAAGAAGAGATTTTTCGAAATTCCCCTGCGGGCGGGAGAGGGAGAGGATTTAGTCTTCATCGAGTACTTAGGTGTATTAAATTAATAGCATTTCAGACATTGTTATAAATATTTTTATATATTTCGATTTTTCATCCAAATGTTCGAACCATTTTAAATTCAAATTTGTTATTGCATATTGGTTCAATTATAGAACAATTGTAAATGTCCCAGAAAATTGATCAAATCGAAAATAGTTCATTTGATTCTTGGCAATTCTCATCATTCTCAGCGGTAGGTGTTATATAACAATTACTATGGTTGTTGAAATACTGAATATAAATGGGGTTTGCTTGCAAAATTTTCGCAGGCAAAGTCACGGGTAACAGCTAGTTTTATTAATATTTACTTACTACTAATTTTCATTTTATATTATCTTTGAATATTTTATGGAAAAAAGATGAATATTATAAAATCACTACATTATTCTAGTTATTTTTATAACATTCTTCTATTCAGTTGATCACATTCTATCAAACTTTCTATGTTATCCAAGATACCCTCAGTCCGTATTATTTTGGATAATCTACTGTATCAATGTAAATAAATAACTTATAATATTCAAAAGTAATGTGAAATGAAAATTAGAATAATTTTGTAATTTATAGCATTATTAACTAAAGATAATACTGTAATATAGTACTGTATGTAATAAAATAATGATGATAAAGATAATTATATAGCCTTCTCTGTGTCTGCCTTTTTGTAAGTTATGTTTTTAAACACCAAATGTTGATACTAGACACTGGACTTTTCCATATCCACTTTATTCTCCTATGTACTTTACAGTCTAAACTAATTGTTTCAAGTGCCAATATGTGTTTTGGGCTGGTGCCTGTAATTTGTTGGTTGATACACATTCTTTACAGCAATTTTTATTCTATTGTCAACATATGAAAAACCAAAAAATTACCAGGTACTCAATGTAACTTTATTTAAAGAATTCTCGGACTATGCTAAACCTGTGTTAAGCAGTATATGACTGTGTCCAATGGTGTGTGCAATATTATTGGTACTAACAGTCTTCTTCTCAAAAATACTGGAGTGAGAAAACGTTCGGAAGTTAAGTTTTAGTTCAATTACTGGTTAAAAAAGGTTTTGTTTATGACTGTTTATTATTGGTACTGTGCCCAATGTAGAAAATGGAAATTTACAAGTAATTCTTTAAATAAAAAGTTACATCAAGTACACAGTGATTTTTGGTTTTATGTACATTTCCAATAGAATAAAAATTGCTGTAAAAATGTGTATTAGCCAACAGATAGAGTCACTAGCCCAAAACATGTATTGACACTTGGAACAATTAATTTAAAGACTGTAAAGTATATAGAAGAGTAAAGTGGATGTGGAAAAGTCCAGTGTCTAGTGTCAACACTTCATGGTGTTACAGTTTGATCATATAATTTATAATAAAACAATTATAGTAAATTTTTTAATTTTAACAATATTAATATGAACCTATAAACTTTAATTTAATATAAAAAACAAATAACATTTTTAATTAACTACAGAAATCTTAAGTATAAGATCTAATTAAATTAAAGATAAGATTTAAAGTGTTTAAATCAGTTAATTAAATGCTTTTACTTGTTTTTAAGACTTTGTATATCACAAGGAAGTGAAATTTTAAGATTTAAATATAATTTAATAATTGTACATTTATAAAAGCTTAGTTATGTGCTGAATATCATTGTTGTTCTAGAAATATAGAAATGCTAAAGTAACTGTTAGTACACTGAACATCTACTAGGCAATACAAAGCACTTCTTTGCTTACAAGTGTGGTATTTTTATTTCTTATTCTTTGAAAGAGACATAAACACTGTATATTGTGATAAATATAGGCTGTTTATGACTCTAAGCAAAGTTCATTTTGTCATTGACTATGATATTTTCTGATACAATGGACATTTAATGTCAGGTAAGCCTAACGTAGGTGTCCAAAAGATAAAGCGATTTTATCTTCCACTTGGAAGGATCAGTTTTCCAGAAGGGGTGAGTTCAGCAGGAAGCATATTTAACAAATTTGTCAGGAATCCCAAACAGGGGTGGACCTGATGGAATGCTAATGGCTCAGCTCTGGATTGGACAATCATTAGGCCTGGAGAATCCCTTAAAAGGAGGAATGATGATGAGAAAAGGAAAGTTTTGTCTGGACTTCAAAAAGAAAAGCTTCCTTCAAATTGCTAAGAGAGAACAAGAAAAAAGAAAACACAGCAGAAAGCCTTGTCTGGACATTGGGGGAAGAGAAGGAGGAAAAACTTTTATGTTTGGACACTATGGACTCATTTCCAAGTGCAAGGGTGGCCAACAGTTTTTGCTCCCGTGCCGAATTGGAACGAAAACTTTTTTCATGGGCAGAACCAGAGGCTGCCCTAGAAAGATTTTGAGGTGGTGCGAGATCTCATTGTGGTGTCACCCCATAGAGACTAAATTGTACATAGAGATTACAGATACATTTTTCACTTTATCGTGCATTATCAACATTGTACTTAAGAGATTTGTAATGGAGGGTTAAGTCTAAACACACAGTGAGTTGTTGACCTTTTTTCTTTTAGACGTCAGAAATTTTCATCGAGTATTCGGACTTTGGTAGCTAATATTGAAAGATTAATCGCGGGCCACATAAATTCATTAGAAGGGCCAGATCCAGCCCACGGGCTATATGTTGGCCATGCCTGTCCTAGTGCAATCTTTATATATGCATTAAATAAAAGATGGATTATTAAAATTTGGATAGTAAGATGCTTTTTGATGAATCATTCATTAGTCATTGGTAGTCAGAGGAGAAGAACCATTAACAGGCTTTTCCAAAATGGGATCTTTTTGAACTTAACTCTCAGCATTATCAGATCACCACTTCTCTTTGTTAGTTTATTATGTAGGCTGTTTTCTTTTTTCAAGTTTTGATGGTCCATGAAAAAAAGACAAGTGTAAATAACAAAACAAATTTATTACCAAAAGTTAGGTACAAACATGGTTACTTTTCGACATTATCACTGTGAATGTTGAGGCATTTGTCGTATCTGTGGACGAGGTTTTCCATCCCCTTGTCATAGAATGTTGCCGCTAGGGAATTGAGATAGGCCCTAATGTTGTTTTGAAGATTATCATTAGTCTAGAACCTCTACCCTCCTAGCCACTTTTTCTGTTCAGGAAAGAGGTGGAATTCACTCAGCGCTAAATCGGGATTATATGCTGGGTGTTTAAAGGTGGTGAAGACTTCCACCCAGCTTGGATCTTTTTAACATATGAAGACTTTTACCTCTTTCCTGAACTGAAAACATGGCTAGCAGGGCAGAAGTTTGAGACTAATGAACTAATGATGATCTTCAAAACAACATTGTTAAGGCCATCTCAGTTCACTGGCAACAACATTTTATGGCAAGAGGATGGAAAGCTTGTCCACAGATATGACAAATTCCTCAATCTTCACAGTACAGTAATTATATAGAAAAGTAACCATGTTTATACCTAACTTTTGGTAATAAATTCATTTTGTTATTTACACCTGTCTTTTTTTTATGGACCATCGGAGCTTGAAAAAAAAACTGCCCTCGTATATCACGAGTCAACAATACTCAAAAATGAAATTTCTATTTATGAAAAAAAAAATATATATATATATATATATTATTTTGTCATAATTTACAATATAATAATACAAATTTTTTTTAAATTTTAGGTTATGTATAATGCCATTAGGTAGAAACCAATTTTCTTCAAATGATCAGACTCTATTGGGTTTACCTTCCATGAAGAAAAGACATTTAATGAAATTGGGATATAAAGTTATTGAGGTAAATCAAAAATATTTATTTATTAGATTTCTAACAAGATCTGTAATTGTAAATAGTTTATAAACAAAAGAAGGAACATTTCTTCATTATGATTATAAAATTATTCTTACTTGGAGTTCTATATATATATATCTACATACAAAGACAAAATCAGGAGGTTAATGGTTAATACATGAGTTGACACCAAGAGTGACAGACTCAAGATTTAATTTTGGGGAGCCAAGTTGAATGTATTAAAAAAACATTTTTGGTGTGAATTCAATAAAATTCTCATCTTGTGATCGCTAATTCATAAATAATATAGAAATAGAATACACAAAACAATTTAAATAAAAATATGAATTTAATTAGGATAATATTTTTGGAAAAATTTACTAGTGTTTCTTTTCATTTTACTTTGGGGTGCCAGGGTCCCTTGGCCCACCTTCTGGGTGTGTCGCTGACACCTAGCCTCATACCTGTTAACAAGAGAGTGAATTGTCACACTCCAGCATGTAATATACAGTGTTCCTATTCATCACAAATCAAATTTTTTCAAATAAAACCAATTTTACTAGCAAAATTACACATGCATTCATCAAATTGCAAAAGGACATTTATTATCAGGCTTCAAGAGTATTTTCTAACAGCTATTCAAATACCCATCTACAAATATTGGCTGTGTGTTCTCATTGTGACATCTGTTCTCATTTTCCATTAGGCATCAGTTATGTTGTTTCACACAACAGTGCTTTTTTAGTAAATACTATAACTATAAATAGCTATCCATTGTGTTTGTTGTTAGGTTGCTGTCTGCCAACATTGAGGCAGTTCAAATCGGAAACTGTTCAAGAAAAAAAAAAGTCAGTTTAGAATTCATTGAGTCTACCAATTTAATTCAAAAGAACATGATGACAAACTTGATATTGTAAATATTGTATTGTAAAGGCTAATATACTTAGTCACACCTGTTCTCAAGATTCTGTAATGTATGTGAATGGCATCAAAATACAATCATTTTCCTGCAAATCATTTTTGTTTTCCAGTTTTTTCCCTTTTCTTATCCTACACTCTCAATTGCTCAAAAGTCATGCTTTATATAGACACTCCATTATAGTAACTTCTTAAAACTAGATATCTGCAATCACTTGTTTTGCTACTTACATCAAATACTCCACAAGATTATTGTAATGTTTAAAAATTTATCTTTTCGAAAATTGTCATTTAAGTTGTTAATTTTATGTACTTGGAAACAACTATATCATTTAATAACAACCAAAAAAATGCAGAAGAGATGTCCCGATATAATGTTAGTTTTCTTTGGGGCATTGTGAAATAATTTCTCAACTGAATTTATCTTTATTGTAGTTGAAGACTGAAAAGTGATTATCAAAGACTATTTTAATAAAAACAATTTTGCCAAGATAAAGATTAGCTTGACACTTGGAAGCAAAATGTAGAAAGAATAATACAGGTAAAAATCTTGTGGGTACTGCTTCAAAGCACCAAGCTTATCTTTACCAAAGGAAAACTCTTAAAAACAATTTTGACTGTCGTATAATTGTCATTAGTTTCTACTTGGAAAAATTTTTTACATCTCGGATGTTTTTGTTTGGATATTAATTGTTTTTGTTTAATAATTGTATTATAATGTCAAGACATATGATGATGATGCACAATTTGGTCAGTGCTCAGCAACCACTGACCAAATGCACTGCAAACTGAATGCTTTCAATATTCGTTTCAGTTGGCATCGATCAAACATACCACCAACCAATGCTTTGATACACTGTTTAGCAAAATCGTTATAAAATGTTTTAATTGGCATAAATTTCAGCTTTTGTAATTCTGAGTAAGTAACATTTTGAATAAAATTTATTTCTTTCCATGCAATTTTATCTTTATAAGCATAAAATTCAGCTGTAAAACTGAATTAACTCTGTGGGAAACCATGTGAATGTTGACCTATCAACCTGGAAGTTATGACACCACCTCACTGATAATGAGAAAGGCTTAAGTTTAAAATTTGAGCTTTCTAGACACAGTAGTTTTTTTTATGAGCATCTGCAGTGCTGGATGAAGAAGGAGAAGAAGAAAATACAGCTTTCTTGGCGATTTTTACACTTTTCAATTGCTTATGTTTCATCAATCGCAGTACAAAAAATCTTGAAATTTTGCACACAACTTAAGAAAATCATTTTCTTTTGAACAAGATATTTGGAATAACTTCAGCTGTTTGAGGAGTGGAAAAATCAATCCCCAAAAATTTTTGTGGGACAGTCACTGATCATCCAAAAATGCTGATTTTTGGATGATCAGTCAGTGACTTTTTTACTTGGCAGGAAGTCACTGCTGAGACTTCTGATAATTTTCAATGAAAAGTTGGAAGAAAATGTCCTGACTTAGGGAAAAAATGAAAATTTGGGTAGAGAATGGAGAAAATGCTATGTATTTTAAATTAATATGCATAGAGATTTCATCACCACTATGTAATACTATTTTTATATGATAAATTTATGATGATTACAAATTATTGTCCTTTTGCTTTGTTTATTTACCTTTTGTTTTCAAACAGATTGTTTAGATTGAATTAGATGATGTATGACATCAGATTTTTATTATTATTCACAAAAATAATTATTCATTTACCAATTATTAATATTTTAAGTTAACAAAAATTTTAATGTTAAATATTTTTTCTAATATGATTTTAAAATTAGTTTTATTTTATTTGGAAACAATTTAGCTTTGATATTTTAGACTTTATAAAAATGGTACAAAAATGAACGTTCTGTATATTAGTTTCAAAATTATTTGTGGCACAATGAATAGTTCAATTCTTATAAAAAAGTAAGTCAAATTTTTGTTACTTTTCCTCCTCATTTGCTCAAACCATTGTAATCATGTCTTGCCCATGTTAGTTACAAATTGCTGTTTTGATATTATTCTCAGTCTTCATCTACACTACTTACATCAGTTAGGGTTTGGTACTTTTGCTCTGCTTATAGTCCAGTTAATTATGAACAATGTATAGTAGACCCACCTATAACATGGGTTTGTATAATACGGATTTGTATAACACAACAAAAAAATTGCAATCATGTTCATATAAACACGCTAAAAGAGACTGGTATAATATGGTAAAACGTCATTGTCAACTCATGTTGCGGCAGGATTGGTCGAATCTAGACCAATTGCAGATATTGCACAAACCCGTTGAGTTTAAACAAGCAGCAGACCTACTAAAAACCATTTATTATATAACGGCCGTAAAAATTATATTTATATTAATGATGTCTCCAAAGTTCAGCGAATTTTTCGCAGAAAAATAACTTATCAGGAAACACGCACCCGCCATTTGATGCACCACTCCATGACGAAAACAAACTTAAGCAATGGTGTCATTGAACGGTGCACACTTGGTAAGTAATCCTACAATTTTTTGTTTATAGCATAGTTTATATGGATTATTCCCAAAAAATTATACGTGTTTTGGAAATGTTGAGTCAAATTAGTCTAGAATCGATTAATTTTATGGAAGAAAACCTTTCAAACAGCCATAGTCCCTAAACTGCACACGTGCCGGGCTGTGATTGGCTCATGTATTTAAGTGACTCATAAAACACGGAATTCATATAAAATGGAACGTATCTACTGTGTTATAGGGGGGTCTACTGTATACATATTTACACTATGAGTATCCCAAGGTTATGTAACATATTTTCTCAATCAACTCTCTTAATTGTACTAAGGAATCATGCATAATAAAGGGTATTGAATGTTACATTATTTTAAATTAATTAAATGTTCGTTTAATTAATAAAACACAGTACAAAGTGGTGATGTAATAAGGTTTGCTAAGCAATACTTCAAAAACAAAAATTAATCATTCTCTTATCCAAATGTTGAGACCCTACCATTACATAATATTATATAAACACAACAATCACCTGCATTACTCATATATACATTACATAATTTACAGATAGCTGTTTTATTTGAAGTGATTTCACAACAAAATTTATATTACTTATAATTTATTATTTTTCCAAAAGTTGCATTTACTGTGGAAAGTTTTGCATAAATCTATCTCCATGACAAAGTGCAACAAGCCATTGTAGTTAGTCTAATGAAGTAAACAACATACTTTTACAACAGAACAATAGTGTATATGTTTTCTTCCTGACTAACAGGAGTTCTCAAGTATGGACAGATGAAAATGGAATCACTTTCATCTATTCATGTGTGAAGGTTCATATTAGAAAAATTGGAAACTTTAGCATTTTTTTAAAATAACCTACCATTAAATCTATTTTTTACTTCATTCTGTTTTTATGTATCTAATAGTAATAATTTAATGAAAATATATATAGACTTACTGTTTGGATTCTTATGCTTGCTAGGCACAGTATGGCCCAGGAGACTCCTGTGCTGATAAACCCATTATTCAATTGTAATGAAAATGGGTTCATAAATATTGCATAAAAATAAAAATTGTATTAATTATTTCTTTTCGAAATATATTTGTTAAAATACTGCATTTGTTCATTATTTTGTATCAGAATGTAATAATTTTAATAACTAAAACTAATGGTTTTGATTTAAATGTTTCTTACAGATTCCGTGGTTTGAATTTCTTCATCTTTCGACTAGTGCAAGATTAAATTATATTAAACAGAAACTTTTTATAAATAAATCAAATTTATCTGTTAGAAAATCATTTGATATGTCAAATCTAATTAAAAATATTTTGAAATAAATATTAATTTTATTTACTAAAATAATATTTAATGCTTTTGTAATTTTTACGTGCTACAATAGTATATCAACTCATTTTAACCCATATATTTCAAATTCGTAACTGCATCAATTAATTAATATGAAAAATATGTTTATGTTGTTTTAAAATATATTTGTAAAAGAATTTTTAATTGTCTGTTAGCAAGTAAAACGAAGCAACGTGGTAAAAAACTTCTCATACGATGAGCATTTGTATCTTTCAGTTTGAAGTTTATAAGATTTCCTCTCAATATTTTGATTTTTCCTTTTACTTGAAAATGCATCTGCAATGATGTGTAATAGAAAAACAGCGTTTTAATGTCCGAGATGGTAACTTGTCAGTTCTTTAAGGCCTATAATATTCCGTATGTTTCAACGTTGCTTCTGCTATGTTTTCCCGATACTGACTGATCCTTCATTTGCACGGTATCGTGTCTATAACACTTTTTCAACATTTAATAGGCTGTACTGCAACTCCGAACAATTTTTTAAGAGACTAGACGTTGTGACCAGAAGATTCTCCCGTTTTAGTACTCAATGGTAGTTACTTACTTACTCTGTACCTCCAACTGGACTATCTAGTTCGTGAACGTACTTTTATTGCCCACAGAGACAAAAGTTAGAAAACTATAATTTACTTTAATTACGTTTATTTGCTATTATATTTATATGTATAGAACAGGATTAAAGAAAAGGTGTCCGCGGTTTATCAGTTTATATATGGTGCACACAAGCCATCGGCGCTGCGCTTGATGCGCTCTTTACAAACCGCGAAGAGAGACGATGTGATAATAAGTGAGAAGCTGTTGGCATTTCAGTTTCGAAATGACGACGAAGAACAATGTCCAAATGTAAAAAAGCAGTACTCTTGACATGATTCTAACCTGCAATCCCCTGTTTAGGAAACTTATGCCTTATCCATTAGGCACAAGTGAACCAATAAATAATTTTTTTAAATTCTTTTTGTATATACAAAATGACATTGAAGAAAACCTTTATACAATCTGTAAAGTGCATTTTAATTAACGTACGGATCGCCATCGCCGATCCGGTACCGATCATCTGATGACATCTGTTTATATTCAATAAGGCAAGACAGCTTATTGTATTAGATCTTCAACCCTAATTTTACAAGGAGGTTGCTTTTTGGCTATTAAAAGTTGTACAAAGAGAGACAACGCTGAATATATGGCACTGAAAAACTGTAACAGATTATTCAAAAATCATTATATATACCTAAAAAGATTTTTGTATTAAACACGAATTTTAAAAATACGAATTGATTTGTGTACATGCAATTATAAATCATATTTATACAACTTAATTAAAGTATAAGAGAATGTATTAAATGAACTTACTCGAATGAAGAAGTTCTTTTTAACATAAAAAAATCCGCCGATGTTTATTCCAAATGGAGTTTTACCATATCTTTTCATAAAATTCAGCATCTTTTTAAATAAATATAATCATTTTTAATACATTAAATTAATAGATCAATTGAAAACGTTAAATTAATTTGAATTACCCTCAGTTTGGTTTCTAACGGCAGATCAGTAGAACACAATTTATCTATTTCAATGAACTTTTCATACATCTTGAAAAATTAAAACTAATTTCANGCTTGCTAAGCACAGTAAGGCCCAGCAGATTCCTGCGCTGATAAAATGGGTTCATAAATATTGCATAAAAATAAAAATTGTATTAATTATTTCTTTTCGAAATATATTTGTTAAAATACTGCATTTGTTCATTATTTTGTATCAGAATGTAATAATTTTAATAACTAAAACTAATGGTTTTGATACTACAATAGTATATCAACTCATTTTAACCCATACATTTCAAATTCGTAACTGCATTAATTAATTAATATGAAAAATATGTTTATATTGTTTTAAAATATATTTGTAAAATAATTTTTAATTGTCCGTTAGCAAGTAAAACGAAGTAACGTGGTAAAAAAATTCTCATACGATGAGCATTTGTATCTTTCAGTTTGAAGTTTATAAGATTTCCTCTCAATATTTTGATTTTTCCTTTTACTTGAAAATGCATCTGCAATGATGTGTAATAGAAAAACAGCGTTTTAATGTCCGAGATGGTAACTTGTCAGTTCTTTAAGGCCTATAATATTCCGTATGTTTCAACGTTGCTTCTGCTATGTTTTCCCGATACTGACTGATCCTTCATTTGCACGGTATCGTGTCTATAACACTTTTTCAACATTTAATAGGCTGTACTGCAACTCCGAACAATTTTTTAAGAGACTAGACGTTGTGACCAGAAGATTCTGCCGTTTTAGTAATCAATGGTAGTTACTTACTCTGTACCTCCAACTGAACTATAGAGTGTGAAAACACACTTTTTTGCCCACAGGGAAAAAAGTTAGAAAATTATAATTTACTTTAATTACGTTTATTTGCTATATATATTTATATGTACAGAACAAGATTAAAGAAAAGGTGTCCGCGGTTTATCAGCTTATATATGGTGCACCCAAGTCATCGACGCTGCGCTTGATGCGCTCTTTACAAGCCGTGAAGAGACACGATGTCATAATAAGTGAGAAGCTGTTGGCATTTCAGTTTCGGAATGACGACGAAGAGCAATGTCCAAATGTAAAAAAGCAGTACTCTTGACATGATTCTAACCTGCAATCCCCTGTTTAGAAAACTGATGCCTTATCCATTAAACCAAGGCCAATTCGTACATCTCGGGTTTCGTAGTATTCAAATCGCCTATCTCGTATTAAATGCACGATTGCAGAGAAGATGTTTCTCTAGAGCGAAACTCAATCTCTGATGCATCGACAAACATTAAAGTGCGACGACGGTTAAAATGACAATGTCAAAGCCTTTGCATCATTGATAAATGTGGCTTGCGGATTACTAATTTGAAAACATTCGGACAGGAGTTTCGGAAAGTTCATCAGTGTTAATCACCAATATTTAAAAGCATCAATTTCCCTAACACACAAACTTCCATCATGCATAAAAAATCCCTGAATTTTTTTATTTGCCCTTGAGTCCAAAATTCTAAAAAACTTGGGGGGCATTTTTTGACCGATCTCCATAATTTCCCACTGTTATAAATAACAGCGGTAAAGGTAAAACTGACATTGAAGTAAATCATTTGTTATAAATCGCTCTTAATAGAAATGTACTCGATTTTACGTTTAATAGATAAAACATATCATCAATAATTTATAATTCTATTTTGTTATAGTAACTTTAATTTATTATGTCTTTAATTAAAAATGTTATATTATAAACGATTAATTCGCAGAACCATAACACACATATATATTGGTACGCGCGAGCGCAAAATGTTTGAAAAGCGCTGAATAATATATAGAATATATATTTATTTATTTTACATACTACGATTTCTATAATTATGTATATTAAATAAGCAATCCATAAATAATATTTTAAAAATACGGTAAAAAATAATTTGTGGGGAAGCAAATTAAGATGCAGTTTATTTATAAAATAGTGCTGAGTAATATATACAAAAATACAACACAAAATATAATACAGGCAGATAAATTAATATACTACAAGTGAATCGCTAATCGAACCTTGACGTTTCGTAAGACGGAAAATGGTTTGGTTTGTTTCATTTATGGGAACGCGACACGAGTGATTTTACCTAGAGTGGAATGACTTCCGGGAGGTCTTATTTAATGGAAACTAGCCCCTCTAGGCGTTACAAACAGAGAAAACCCGGAAAACTCCACGTCCGAACTACCAGTGTTCAAGGAACGAAAACCGATTGACCACTGGTGAACCGTAAAATATTTGACTTTTTTAACTTCGGATTTTTCTTGAAAGTCCGTCTTTCTTCGAACGCAATACTTCATTTTTCTGTAATACTCTCTGTGAGAGCCCGGATAAAATGGGATTTTTATTTAACCACAACTTTATTATAAAAAATTAATTAAAAATAGCGTTAAAATTTATTATATTATATAGAGAAAAATCTTCCAACATTGAATAAAAGAATGAAAGGATGTGATCGCATCTTTTCCTGGAATTACTTCCCTTCAAAAGCTGGCACGTATGTGTCAACAGAAACTTTCATCCGAAATTCATCTATTGATAAAAAAAACCTAGCATTGCCTAAAAAGACAAGGGGAGGACCCNATGTGATAATAAGTGAGAAGCTGTTGGCATTTCAGTTTCGGAATGACGACGAAGAGCAATGTCCAAATGTAAAAAAGCAGTACTCTTGACATGATTCTAACCTGCAATCCCCTGTTTAGAAAACTGATGCCTTATCCATTAAACCAAGGCCAATTCGTACATCTCGGGTTTCGTAGTATTCAAATCGCCTATCTCGTATTAAATGCACGATTGCAGAGAAGATGTTTCTCTAGAGCGAAACTCAATCTCTGATGCATCGACAAACATTAAAGTGCGACGACGGTTAAAATGACAATGTCAAAGCCTTTGCATCATTGATAAATGTGGCTTGCGGATTACTAATTTGAAAACATTCGGACAGGAGTTTCGGAAAGTTCATCAGTGTTAATCACCAATATTTAAAAGCATCAATTTCCCTAACACACAAACTTCCATCATGCATAAAAAATCCCTGAATTTTTTTATTTGCCCTTGAGTCCAAAATTCTAAAAAACTTGGGGGGCATTTTTTGACCGATCTCCATAATTTCCCACTGTTATAAATAACAGCGGTAAAGGTAAAACTGACATTGAAGTAAATCATTTGTTATAAATCGCTCTTAATAGAAATGTACTCGATCTTACGTTTAATAGATAAAACATATCATCAATAATTTATAATTCTATTTTGTTATAGTAACTTTAATTTATTAGGTTTTTAATTAAAAATGTTATATTATAAACGATTAATTCGCAGAACCATAACACACATATATATTGGTACGCGCGAGCGCAAAATGTTTGAAAAGCGCTGAATAATATATAGAATATATATTTATTTATTTTACATACTACGATTTCTATAATTATGTATATTAA